AACAGGTTACATGAATAGGTTGCAAAATTAACGCTTGATATTCGTCAATTTTTATCACGTGATCCGTTTTGACGTTGAAAATGAATGTCAATATGGAAAGGCACCTTTATAGCAAATGTTCCAAATTTAATACGCTGAAAATCTATAGTTTACATTAGCTGCACTACAGAGTTTCAATATTAAAGGATCGTTGGATGCATTCAAGTCGACAAAACTAGCCTGCTCGTTGAGCAAAAGAATACGATTGGTTGTTGCTTATATTGTAGATCCAGTCAATCACATTCTATTATTCGGCAAATAGGCTAGCAACTTTGTCCGACTTGGAAACGTCCATTTATAAAAAAATGGCGTTAATTTATGCCATAATCCATAAGAATTGATTAATCATAGTCGATTACTCTCCCATTCGACTGTGATTAGTCAATTTTTACAGATTACGGCTTGTATAAATAATCCCTAAAGCGTTAAACATAATGAAATGTACAGGCAACAGAAAAAAGGGATAATAGATTTTAACTTATCGAAAATTGTGTATTGTGGTATACACGGTGTGTATTTATTCTTTGTTTCTATTGTTTATGCTTTTCCTCGTTCTTAAAGTCATTTGACAACGAATTCCAGAATATAGTCTGTTAGGGACTCCTCACAATAAAAGGTACAGAGAATAAGAATAGAGAATAAGAATTTCAACTTATTAGAAATTGTATTCCACAATACATGATTCCTGATAGGTTGAAATTCTTATTATCTGTTCTCTGTTGCCTGTTCCTTTTATTGTGCGGAACCCCTTAGGACTCTGCACGATCAAAGGAATAGGGAACAGGGAATAAAGAATGAGGGTGCATCCACAATAGAAGGAATAAGGAATAGGAATAAAAAATAAAGATTTCAACCTATCGCTTATAAAAACCGTATATTATGGTGTATCCGATATTTGATAGGTTGGAAAATTCCTTATTCCTAATGCCTTATTCCTTCTATTGTGGTTACACCTCAAAAATTTTAGTCTATCAGAAATCATGTACTGTGGAATACATATTTTCTAATAGTTTGTGTCTGTTCTCTATTTCTTTGATTGTGCATAGCCCCTAATCGACAGGAAAGTTTATGCAGAGACTTCCGTCAGACACGAATTTTTGTTCAATATATATTAGGTGTTGGAATTAATTCGTAGCGTTTTACAAGTGATGGGAAGTACTTTCATTAATGTATTTTTTAATGCTCATGTGAAATAAATAACATTCTTTCATTAAAAAACGCTACGAATTAATTCCAACACCTAATATTAAATTTCAATCAAATTTAATTTATTGATTTTTGAGTTACATTTTCTTGTTTAACTCTATTATTTTAGTTAAATTATGATATATTAAGCAATGGAATCAGTAACAATCTATCGAAATAATTAAAAATAACTCAAATTGAATATAATTTAACATTATGAATTTAACAATGTAAGCGTGTTATATAATTATTTTGATGATCCAACAAAATTACTTTCAAATCTGTATTTAATTAAATTTGAGATACTTCAATAAAATCATTATTTTCTTTTTTAATTAGAAATAAAGAAAGTAGTCTGAAAAAAATCTGCAAAAATTGATCTCTCGACAGAGTCGAGTTGCGGTTTGGATTTACATCATCCCTTTGTAAAATTTCTAACTAGGGAATTTCTAGCTGCGCGATCACGCGATACTCACGGGAACCCAGTGTTCTCTTGTATTTCTGTTCAGGAGGCACTAAAAAGCACGATGGGTCTGCGCAAGAAGATATTACATAATGCGAAATAAGGACTATCCGTAGGGTAGACTCACTGTCGTGAGTTCGGGGGTGACGAAGAATAGTCGATCGGTTGTGCGAGGTGCAAAAAAAAACAGGCACGCGATCCACTTTGTATTTCTCCCTTTCTCTCGCTCTCTGTTTCTTTCTCTTTCTTTCTTTTTACCTCTCTTACACCCTTGATCGCGTGATGACGTGTGCTGGACGTGTGCACGCGACACGGTGCACGTCTCGCGATACCCGCTGCGATCATCGTCGCATCGTTTTCATCACTCGGCATACAATCTCCAGGGAAGTAAATCGACCTTCTCGTGCAAACGTAGCACGATGTTAATCTGCAACCAATCTCTGTTTACGATGTTCTGCAGTTTCTCGCGAAACTGATTCGCGTGTAACCAAAGAAATTATAGGTAGAAATTTACGGAACTTAAATTTTTTGCATCATATATAATTACAAGAATGAGAATGTTGCTACATGCAACATGCATTATGTGTATATCAATTGTAATATTTAAAATAGATTTACGATACATTATCTATTATAATTTAATTTAAAAAATATTCTGATGTAAACATTTTATACTTTTCCACGATTTTGAGACGTTTTTTCGATCATATTTATTTAAGTTTCTTCTTGTATATAAAAAAAAATGAGTATTTACAACATCAGCTAATAGTAGTCTAATTAAAAATAGTTATATTATTATAATTTAATTTAGTATTAATGAAACAAATTTTATTAAAACAAGAGCATGGCGTATTTGTTTCATTAATACTGTCATCAAGTGTCATTGAATTAATAAGAATGTTTTCGATTAGATTGTTGTTAATGCTGTTGAAACATATTTTTTTATTAATTTCTGTAGTTTAAGAAATATACTTATATTTTTTTTATCGATCGATATTTCTTAAATTCTTTAAGCATTTTTTAAATTGAAAGGAAGTCACTATATAACTGTCGGAAAGAGAGAGAGAGAGAGAGAGAGAGAGAGAGAGAGAGTATATAAAATATTCTTAAATTTTTTAAAATTTCTTAGATATTTGTTAAATTAAAAAGAAACTACTAAATTATTAGAGAAAGACTAAAATATTTCTTAAAAGGAAAATAAATTACTAATTATAAGTGACTAATATTGTGCGAATTCTGTTTCCTTTTCTAGCCCTTTTACAATACTGTGTCCGTGTCACGCACATCTCGGACCAACTTTTCCCAGAGTGGACTTTCAATTTACTTTCTGCATTTCACGTCGCGTAATCGGCCCGGTCGATCCCCGCTGAAAAGTTAACGATACGATTAGTCAGCTCCGTTCCCAGGCGCCGATAATCATGCGAGCGCGTGCCGCGTACGATTCCTGTGTGAACTTTATCGTGATCGCAGCCCCCTTCCTCCATCCCTCCACCCCCCCCCCCTCTCGCTTTCTCTCTCTCGCGAATGTTCCCCTCCGCACTCCCGACACGCGTGAACGTCTCCGCGACGTACGCACAAGCGTGCGAACGCAAACGGGGGTTGATCCACGCGAGGGTGGCACCGGAGTGATTTCATGGTATCGCGAGCCTATCTTTTTGAGAAATTGAAAGAAGGCTGATTGTCTTATGATTTTATTACTCGTTCTCTCTTTCTCTCTCTCGCATGCGAATAAAAACACAGTTCTCATCTCCATTTGTAGAGGTATTAGAAGAATGACGAAGTATTTCGATGTGAATGAAGTCATAGGATCGAAATTTCAATGAATAATCTTTTAATATTGAAAAGTGACTAATAACATTAAAGAAAGTTGTACTGAATCTTAATACACATTTCTTTAAATACTAAATAAACATTTACTTACATTAAATAAATATTATATTAAATATTATATAAAAATGATAGTTAAAGCAAATTAATAGTTTTTGTACCAAATATATATGTTTACATTTGTAAATATATATTCAAACAAATATTTAATAAAATTTAATATTCTTTTTTCAGTGTATTTATTTTGAGTATTAAGAAATGCTGTTGTTCAGTGCTTTTAGTACTCAAAATAAGTTAATCATTATTTGTCAATATATATAATTCAATTGGATTTCTATAAAGGTGGATACTTGGAAATTTACAGTTTAACAAACTCATTTAAAAATGATCTGACATAATAAAGACTAACAGAATAACATTACATGAAGTTTCTCATTAACGATAAGAACGTCAAATTAAAGATATCGCGCAGCTTTCTAGAAGACATAAATGATAGGTCCTTAAGGTAAGAAAATTACAGCATCGGGAAACAATAATCCTCAAACGCGACAATTCCGACGGAAACGATGGGAATTCACACCAGCCTGGAAAAGGATCGTTTCCGGTCTCTTTCTTCTCTCACATCCGCTGACGGCCGGAGTGGAGAGAAGATCGCTTCCTCCTCGATCTCCTTGACCGAGTGCAGCGCAGGATCCAGCCGGTAGTCGCACAATCAAGGGTCCAACTCTCGCACACACGCACGCACTTTCGTGCGCGAGTCGCCGTGGACGTTCCCACGAAAATCGCCCCTCCCGATTTGCGTTCCCCCTTCGATGGCAACCCTCTCTCGCTCTCTCTCGTACGCCGTATACAGGGTGCTTTTCACCTCGCAGGGTCTCTCCGATGCCCCACTCTCTCCATCCCGAGGGTGCACACCTCCGATCATCCCCACCAGGATCGCCGATACACCACGCGGTCGTGTGTCGTCCCTGCGTCCTCCCGCACACGACATACGTCGGCCGCCACGCGACCAGTGCACACGCACATCCTGCAGCAGCAGTAGCAGCCTGCAGCAGCAGCGGTAGCAACGGCACCGGCCGAGAGTGCGTCCGATCGCCAGTCGCGCTTCTTCCTCCACGAGCACGCACGCGACCGCGAACGACGTCGCGGGTAGCCGCGGCACGTGGGCGCTGATAAACTCCCGCCACCCGCGTGAGACAAGTGCGCCGAAGGACCTGAGTGCTCCTTTCGCTGTCCGGAAACCGCATCCCACCGCGTGACCCTGACCTTCCGCAAGATTCCGTCCGCGCGAGTGTCACCGGAGGAACTTGGAAGTCGCGCGATTCAATTCGACCTTCAATTACCCGTGAAGAAATTATCTCAACTACAGACTTCCGGATTTTTTTTTTTCGGGGATTTGAAAATCCTACCACGCGAGTTTTGCTATTCTTTTTTTTATGATTCGTGGTGCTATTATCGCACAATCTGCAACAAGAGGTATCGAGGATTTTGTGGGTCCTGCAAAGATCTCGAGCTTTGATTTTTAATTGTCTCTGACAAGTTCTACTGATCTAGATCTGAGTGATAGACAAGCATCAATCGAATAGATGAGGATGTCTTCTCTCGAGAAAATTGTACGTCCATAAAAAGAAACACAAAGTGCTACATCAACAACGATAAAGATATCGGAAATTTTGTCAAGGATTTCGCGAGCCCTGCAAGATCATGATCTTCATTTTTTAATCATAATTACTTGATGGAACCTGTAGATTAATCATAGATACTTGGTGAAGATAGAATGATTTTTAATCACTGAAGAAACTCTACAGATTTTTTATAAGGACAGTGATCAGACTTTAGACAGATACCAATTAAATAGATGAGGCTACTTCTCCCGAGAAAAACGTTCATGAAAAGAAACAAGAAGGACTATATATCATTTGATAACCGCAGTGTCGTCCGTGCGTTTCAGTTATTAGTTGATTGCTCGATCGCGATTTCCTTCGCCAGCTAAAAGCCGATTAGAGCACGGCCGATGCTTATCGAGGTCTGCTGACAATTGTTCTCCATCGACTGCATTGCGGCTACAATGACACCTCATTCGTGCATCGTTATGGCATCGACACATCGCATTAGACGGTAGCGCACGATCGAGCGAAGTCAATCGACTAAGCACACCTTCGTGTCCTTACACAAGGCTGTTCATCGATCACATCGATCCTCCTGTCTGACCTTCTCTCTAACTTTCTCTACCTCTCTCGGGCGCAACATGTGGCGGGTGGTGGTCGCGCGTTCCGACGACAACAGCACCCTGCTGTCCTCCGAGATCACTTCCAGCGCGGTCGCGCCAGGTCACCTGTCGACGCTGCCGACGCCACCGTCGGGTCACCATTGGGGTTACCCGCCACCGCCGCATCATCCCCCGTATCAGCCGACGCCGCAGCATCCAGACATGCGTCACCATCATGACATGCGTCCTCCCGCCACCCACGGCGATCTGCGACACACTATCACGACTGGTCCAGGTGACCTCAGGAGTCAGGAATTGCGACACGAGATGCAGCGGCCGGACCTGCGACATTCGACGGAGATGCAGAGGCACCAGGAGTTGTCCAGGCACCAGGAGTTGTCCAGGCACCAGGACGTCCGGCATCAGGACATATCAAGCATGAGACCAGAGATGCCGGAGTTGCGCTCTAATCACGAGTTCTTAGAACTGAAGATTGATACGGAATTGAGAAGTCAAGATAACAGTCAGCAACAGCAACAACAGCAGCAGCAACAGCAGCAACAACAGCAGTCGCAGCAAAGTCAGGGACATCAGCAGAGGAATCTGAAAAGGACCATGAGCGATTCAGACTGCGACGACGTATTCTCGGAGGAGAGCGGCAAAGAGCCGTACGTATATCTATTTTTTTATCTCTCCTTTCTCCAAACAAATCGTATACGCAAGAATTAAAGCAGTCCAGTTTAATTCATATTATAATACAGTCTCTAAAGTTTAGATCCTCTTTCTCGAAAGAAGAAATATCTTGGCAGAATTGAATAGACATTTCTAGTTTCTCCCAAAATTGAATATACATTGAAAATATTCTTAATTAAAATAATTAAAACATTCTTTAATGTACTCGTTGAAATAATCGGATAGTCGGTCGCTCGCCGACGCGACATATTGCGCCTCTTTGTTTCGCAGTAAAATCGCAATCAGAACGGTATTGTTTTAGCATGGCTGAAATTAATGAGCGAGTTGTCGAGCGTTCCGCGAGGTAGATCAACAATATACAATTAAAACAACGTCCTCTCGCCCTCCCAGTCGCAAAAGTCCAGAACAAAAGAAGACCACAGACAGACAGACAGAACGTCTTGACGCTGTTTCTCAACCCTTCCCTCGAAATTCCCTTTGCAGATGCAACTCGCCCGGTGGAGACTCATGCCAGCACGCGTCGCGGAAACGCAGGAGGGGGATGATCGAGAAGAAGCGGCGCGACAGGATTAACGCGTCCCTCGGTGAGCTGAGGAGATTGGTCCCGGCAGCGGCGAGGGATCCTCACAGCGGAAAGCTGGAGAAGGCTGAGATTCTGCAGCTTACCGTCGAGCATCTGCGCACACTTCGCAGCAAGGGTAAGATCGTGCATCTTTTTCAACCCTCTCGTCTCCGTGCAACTCGAGTTTGTCGTTTAAATTAAGTTGTCGTTCCACCGCGAAGACTGCAAATCTCGTTCGTCTAATATTACTCTTGGCATCGCCAGGTGTTATTTTTATTTCTCACCCCGTTTCCATCATTGGAGGTTAACTTTCATTTCGGTTCAACTTATCTCTCTTCATCTTTTTTTAATTCTTACGTAGAAAGCACAATATTTTGCTGAAGTAATTAAAAATTTAGATAGATACAGGTTCGAATAATTTTGTTGGACTATCAAAGTAATTATGTAGAAAACTCAAATGTAATGAGTAATAACATCTTACCCTATTTTATCTTAACACAATTTTTTGATTTTATTTTACACATTTTATTTTAATTTGGTTTCATTTTATTTTACTTGAGCTTTGAATGTGTTTAATTAATTTGAAAAAATGATTGATTAAAGTTAATCTAATGGAAACGAACATTAATCTTTTAGAATGAAGGTTCTATAATTAAGGACAAAAAAGCTTTAGTAATTAGGAACAATTTAATTTGATGAACTTTATATCCATTCCTGTTAATGTAGAGTAATCGATCGGCTTAATATATTTTTTATCCTTTTCTAGAGATTTTCTAAGAATTAGAAAAAAATAAAAATTAATTAGACCGATATTCGTCGAACAATGGGAGAAAATCATTTTTGATTTAACACTAATCCATGTTAACGACGCTGAGCATTTGAAAAATCATTCAAGGTTTATCGCTTTCCGCAGGAAATTACGTAACGAAAGTGCATATCGAAAGATGTAACGGTGTCGAGTAATAAGATCCCCGAATCCGGAAGAAACGCTCTCTTTCCCGTTGCAACGCATAGCGGAACTCGAAGATGATCCTCCTGGATCAATAAAACACCTCTTTTCTCCGCTTGAGATTCCTCAAGCCTATCATTAGTGATCTCACGATTTCGACTGCTCACACACTCGCATCAATTTGATTCTTCCGCCATTATTACGTCTTTCTGTTAGTCGGCGTTTTCGGCCCTTTATTTTCCACCGGAAGACACCTGTTGGCTGTAAGAGCGAACAGCGCTAACTGTAACTGCGTAACCGAATGCCCATCTGTCGTCTCTGCGTTTCCTTATTAAGTAGATTGATCAGGAGAGGGATTACCAGCGTAGATTCGTAAACGAGATTTCCAAGATCAGTATTTCGCAAGGTTTCTATAATTATATTTATTATAGTTATCCTTCTGTAATTTTTCAATACTTCTTTACGAGTGATATAAATCTACGTATCTCATTTTATCACCATAATGATTTTTTGTGAATTAAATATTAGTACTGTAATTATTTTTTATTACAAAAATAGCAGGGAAAAATAGATAATTTAATCAACTTGAAAATTAATTAAAAAATATTCTCAGGAAAATATTTATTACAAACTTTATGTACACTGTTTTAGTTATATTTAGCATTATTATTACCTATATTTATTTTCACTATAATATCAATTTGTTTTTATTTACAAATCTCTTTCTCTCTCTTCATTTTTTTCTTTCTTTCCGTTATTGAATGATAAATTCATGATAAATCTTTTTAAAAAATACGACGTCGTGGAGAAAATCGCAAGAAAACCGTAGTGGCATATGGTTTCCCGTGAAGGCCGCAAAAGAGCTCGAGCGTAAACGGGATCCACGCGAGCAGGTGCTGGACCGGGCGCGTAGATCCTGTGGGAAGCACAGGAAGTCAACGACTCTCTGGAAGTGGTGTTCCCACGATTGGTGGCGGCGGGCCCGGGGATGAGGTGTCCCGCGCGGCACCCCTCGCGAGGGAGGCGCTCGACGGATCGGGTCTGGGACAGATGTCGAACCCTGTGGGAAACCAGCTAGCTACACATAAGCGTGCACGGACACGCACCGCACCACTACGCGTGCGTTTGCATGCGTGCGAGTGTGTGTGAGCGAGCGCTCGCTTCGTTCGCTCGCGGTGGCCTCCTTATTTGTAAATGCGTGCGAGGGGCGCGACCCGTCCCCAAAAGTGAGCGATATTAAATTTAATATCGCCAAATAAAACCATCGCAGCATTCTGATTGGTGAGAACGATAGGAACACTTATATATACATTCGGGAATTACGTTTCGATAACGATAGTTCCGGTGTTTTACGTATAACCTTGTCAATTGCAGATTAAGTAATATCTTATCAAATAATGCAATTTTCTTTATCTGTTTTTAATATAGATTAACTTTAATTTTGGTTTATTTTATTCTATTAATCTATTTTATTCTTTCTTAACCCTCTATTTGCTATCATTTTTATTTCTTTTATTTTTCTGGATTTTTCGTTCGATTAAATTTTATTATTATTCTAGGCTTTTAAAAAATATGAAAAAATTCTTTTCAATATTTCTTTATATCACATTATCGAATAGAGTAACTGTCTCAATTACTGTGCCTGTCTTTATTAATGTGCTTTTGTATTTCGATAAGTTATAAAGAGAACTAGCACAAATAAATAAGAAAAAATTTTTTTTTTGTTAAATTAAATTATTAATGCATACGATACCGAAGATAATATTTTATTTTTTGAATATTAAAGTATTTTAAATATTTTTTGAAAGATATGAGGAATTTATGTGAATTCAATAATACGTATCGCAAGGTTTTAAACTTGTCCCTATTAATGTGCCCTGTATTGGAGCTGAGAACGTTGTGTTATGAGTGTACTTTGAAATTGAAACAATGATTTATATTAATATTATGATAATATTAACATAAACAATTAGCTTAAATTGAAAAACCGATATTGATTGCAAGCAGATAAAATTAAAACTACAATATTTAATAATTAATTCAGTAATAAGCAAATTGATTAAAAGGCATATTAATAGGGACAGTTACCTAATTTCCTAACTAAAATATAAAAACCTTTATTTATTAAAAATTGAAATTTGAATAAAAATAAGGAAATTTTATAGCGAAATTTTGCTTGTGCTAAAAAATCTCACACTGTAGACGAAAATTTAAGGATTGAAAAAAGAGAAAGAGTAAATTAAACCTAGGAGATTAAAGTACTACATTGATAGGAATGGGCATGATATTTTCCTATAGTAATAAAACAAAAATTTTATTTGATTTGACAAAATTTTATCCGGTTTAAAAAAGTTTGATCTGATTTGAAAAAGTTTTATCGAGTTTAATATTCCGAGTTTGACATTCTTTCACCATTATTTCTTCTTTAATATAAAGCAAGCTCCGAACATGTCCCGTTTATAGACATTTCCGAAATTTCGAGACCACTTGCTTATCCGAGGCTTTAGCAAAAATCGATCGCGCAATGATTTGACGAACGAGAGCTTCTTGTACGATACGCAGTAGCCTCTCTTTCGTATAAGTGATGTTTGCACAGGGCGGTCTGAGAACTTGCATAACAACGTAGGATACTCCACTTCATTCGTAGTATGCGTGCGTATCTCGCATGTGGTCCGCGAGGCCGACCTATGGGGGTCTAAACGATTCCCACGCTACCTGTCCCATTCCACATTATACACAATGAGCCGCCTGCTACTAAAGCCAAGGCGCCCATCTCGCCTCGGTGCACGTACGCCCCGGACTATTGTTGCGCCGCGAAAACCAAAAGTACACAAAGGATCTCTCACCGTCCGCAGATGCACTTCCACGTTGTCAATCTGCGAGCCGGCCGGAGCGTGATTCGAGGAAAGCGCCGGAAAAACCGGCGATATCATCTTTTGACACCTGCTTTCTTTCGGAACACGGCATCTTCGTCGGGGAATAACATTCCCAGGAAATGAACTGCAACATTGGCGTCTTAAATAATTGTATAGCGAAACAATGTGGAGAAATTCAAGTTTTCAATGCATTTCCGTATCTACGTTATTAAAAATATCGTATAAAAATTCTTTAATTTCTATTTTGTCTTCATATTTACGCATCTCCGAAGTACTCGATAACGAGCTAAAATCTAATTTAACTTTAAGTCAACTTCCGTCTCGTTCAGAGTTTCTTCTAATTAATAGTTATCAGCATCGCTTCTCCTTATAAATAAATATAGAGATCATCATAAATTCGAGAAGACTTTCTTTCGTGCATTTTAAAATCTTCGAATATATGTATGAAATTAAGGACTACGATTTTATTTAATATCGTATTATACGATCTTAATCATAAATATAAAGCACTTTCAAAAATTGACGCAAGCATTCTATATCTTATAACAAGAAATGCATAAAAAATTAAAAATATAGTTTCGTATTGAAAATAATACTTCTATAATAAAAAAAAAGCTTTAATATTTTATTAATTTTTCTTTGACTTTTATTATCGCCTTTTCCAAGAAAAGGCAATAAATGGAGGATACTCTATATTTATAGCTAAGGGGCTGTATTATTATTGGTTTATTAATATATTAACATTATATTATTATTATCATAATACTATTATATTATTAATTTATCGTGCTTAACGATAATCGAGATCGTCGTCATAATCACGATGCAAATTGCAATTACAGGACCAGAGGGCTACGATAGCACGAAGCTGGCTATGGATTACCACGCAGTAGGCTGGGGCGAATGCGCCGCCGAGGTCGGTCGCTATCTGGTGACTATGGAGGGCCTGGACGAGAGAGATCCCCTTCGACTGCGTCTGCTGTCGCACCTGCAGAGCTTCCATCGAGAGCATCCGCCGTCGGCCGTATCCTCGGCGGTGCCTTCCGCTCCCACGACATTGACGTCCACCTCCACTGCCAGCAGCTACGAACCACCGCCGAGCACGGTCTCCGCCGGAATGCCGCCTGGTCCGGGTGCCATGCCGCCGCTTTTGGGCGGCGGCACCCTCGGCTGGGGCCAGTATCCCGGACAATATCCCCAGCAGCAGCACGGAAAGCCTTACCGACCCTGGGGCGCGGAATTGGCGTACTGACCGTGAACCTTTGATTCGCAATCAATAAAGGTTTGGCGCAAGAGCGGTGTAATTCGAAAAAAATATCGTTTTAATGTGATTTCGCCATTTCGCTACTTTTCTTTTTCTCTTATAAAGTTTTATATATAAAATGCGATACGTAAGTGGTTTCCCAAGCAGGTAATATATTACGATAATATCAAAATGATATTAGAATGAATCGTGACTCATCGAAAAGTGACTTTTAATAATCATTTTGAAATCATTTGAATGCCATCATGACTTGTTTTGATATCATCATGACTTGTTGTCCTGCTTAGATCTGACAGGGTGGTTTTTAAATATTCTAAAAGATTTTCAGATCACGTGACCAAAGTGACTTGGTTTCAAAGATACACTTATTCTTGGATCCACCTCTGATTTGAATACAAATATAATATTAGTTACAAAAGATGAACTTCTATACATTCTTAATATACACAAAGTTTTATAACATTTTAATAATGCGAATGATTTTCGAATTTTTTTTTTAAAACGAGATTTTTCCTTCAATTTTAATACTGTGTATCTTTAAAAATAAGCCATTTTTCAGATATATAGTTTTCGTCTTAAATTAACGTAAGAAATTGCCTCTTAAAATTTTTTAGAATATTTAAGAACCACCCTATCGAGCACTACAGAGGAAGATGTAAATTATACCGCTCTTTTGTGTCAATTATTCATTTATAAGACTTAATTACAGGCGATGTATTCACGCTCATGTTAATAAGTCAATTGTTTATTTTTTCAAGGATTTATTAATAGTAAAGTACGATTTGCAATGTTTACAATTAGCGAATATTATGGCAGCATGAAACAAGACTAACGTGAGCGGCGAATTTTGCCGTTCTTTTTGTGTACATATAATATACATTTTGTACAATGTTTTCAAACATATCTCAGGAACTTCCACAACGATCAAATCTATATATCAATATATTTTCAATGAGTGAGATAATGATAGTCATGCGAGTACCTAACTGAAAAAAAGATATTTATTGATAAAGAAAAAATTGTATATATAAATTGTACATACGTTTTTGTAAATAATAAGAATTTGTAATTTTATCAGATATCTCGTAACCGGCTGCACCGGTTTATTTTTATGGTATCGCCGTTTGTCTCGTTCGCGCTCGTCATAAAGCGATAAATGATTGCGCGAGCGTTTAAAGTTCAGCATCAGCAAAAAAGAAGAAAAAAGAAAAAGGAACGGTCGTCATACGCATTCGCAACGTGCCATTACGCATTTCAGTATATACGTGTGGGAGAAATCCAAGTATTTTTGCAATACAATTTTGTAATAAAGTGATAACACGAGGAATACAAATAGAATCTTGTCGCATGTAATTTCCCCCTTTGCACTTTCCTCCAACAGAGTCCAATCAATAATGCATTTCTGAGAACCGTTAATCAAAATATACGCGAATCGTAGGAAACTATGTGACCTCGAATCTAATGTTCTTGTTAGATAACCGAAATTGGGGTAGTTCCTGGAGAAGCAGAGTAAATTGAATCCGGCAGCTACGTCCTCATCAATCATCCGTAAAATCTGGTAAAACTCGATACCGTCCAAACATCGAAGATGTTTATACGTTCTATTACAAAATCTGTTTACGATTATTTCGATCTGAAATAATCATGGGTATCCAAATTGACTAAACTTAAAATGTGACGAAACGATCAGTAGCGGTCATCTTAAAAAAAACATCTGATTGCGATTATTTTATTTTATCAGAGAAATTTTCTCTCTTTTTTGTCACAGAAATTCTTTTAATAAATTATTATATAAACTTCTAGATTTTTTTTTCTATATGAACTTGTAAATTTTTTTCTCACAGAACTTCTATATAATTTTATAAAATTTCTAACTTTAGAAAATTTCTCAGATTTTTTTGTATGAGTTAAAACAGTTTTTAGAAATATATTATATGTTAAGAAAATCTACATTTTTCTCAAATTTTTCGTATACGTGAATTATGAAATATTTTAAGATATTTTAATTGAAAGTATGAAATATTCATATCAATACTTTTTATGGCTGCAGTGAAGATTTAATTATTCGTGTACACACACACACACACACACACACACATATATATATATATGTATATATATAAAACTATCATACAAACAGCAAGTAGAGTGACTAGGCCATGAGTACTAGGCCATATTCGGTGCAATTACTTCATTTTGCATCACCTTGTCATACGTGACAAACGAGCGGACTTTTGTGTATTCTACACAGCCGTGCCTCACGAAAACAGACAGAAAATTGTGAGCTAGAATTTACGCGTTCGGGGAAGAGGAAAAGAAAACGCCGCTCTACTCTTCTTTTCTCATGCAAAACTCTCTTTTACAGACGCAGGACATTCTCGGATAGAACAATATGGGGCTTACGACCCTTCCCGTTCGCATTATATTCGCAAACCAGTTTTGCGAGTCATTAGCTTCGCGTGCGCGCCCGCGCATCTTTTTTTTCTTCTTTCTTGCCATTTTTTTTAATAAACCGGCCTGATAATTAGCCACGGCTACTTTTTTGTTCTCGCGCGCTCTTCGCTCGAGACAGCGTGGACAAAACCTAATTTTCGGGAATTACTGATATTGCGCGGCCACGTGCGATCCATTGTGCGGAGCGTGCTCGTTACGCGCGATCCTCCTTCAGTCGCACGCGCGCATAATTGCGCGAAACGCGCCCACGTGGTCTCCTGTCAAAACTTGACGCCGCTCATCAGAATAACGTAGAACAGAAAAGTTGTTTACCGATTCAGTGATGCGAGCTGTTCGACCTACATTGAAATTACAGATACTGCGATTGATACTAGGAAAAAGCACGAAAAAAAAAGTGAGATAAATAATACTAGTAAAATATCTGAGCCGAATGAGGCTCAGCATTGAAAAAGGCCTACTAATAAAAGTTTTATTTTCATTGTTAGTGTATTTCAATATTTCTCCGTAAAAAGAATTTTTTTTAATAAAATAAATTAGATGTGCTTATTTGATTCAGGTATCTTTGTGTAGTTGATATGTAAAAGCTACATTCGAAATTATTAAAAAAATTAAATATTGGAACTCTTGCATTCCTTAATCCTTTGTTTACGAATTAAACGTTTTAAAAATGTGATGAAATATTTAGAAACCCTATAAAATCTAGAGAGAAAAGTGGATCTAATTACAAAAGAAATTAAATTCTCAAATCCCTATACTGTTGCGAATACAGTTAAAAGTCTATCAGTCATATTTAATAAAAATGGCAGATAATTTGTGCCAAAATCAACTAAGATCCTTTTTCCTGCAAATGTATTCTATTTTAATAAACAAATTATATTTCTCTTGTCATATTATACACGTTTCGTTATCTAAAACAATGATTTCTTTCTTAATTTTTCACAAAAAGCTTTTATTGATAGCTTAAATGAAAAGCATATACAAGTTTTTTTCGCTGTCACCAAAAAACATTTCAAGTAGAAATGACAACTTTTGTCAATTGGCTACTTATATAAAGTAGTATATTTAGGAAAACCATATTGCGTCAAGTTCCTCTTGAGACTCGTCATATAATTGATTTTTAAATGAGTCTCTAGAAATCTTCTTAGAAAAATCTCAAGAGGATCTCTTTAAGAGGATCTTCTAAGATAGTTTTTCACTTTAAACGAAAGCTTACAATTTAAAAAGTTACGGAATATAAGGAAGGCTTCGTATTGCAGCCGTATTAAAGTAATCGATCGCAACCGATATCAAAAGAAAACTGTGTCTCTGAAAGCGATGCATAAATAGATATCGCAAAAATCGTTATCAAGCTCCATGCTATAAATATAGATTATATTGTTGTACTGCCATACAGCGCAGGTTGTTGCAGCAACATTGCAACGTTCCAATAATATTGCAAACGTTGCAGTAATGTTGCTACACGCTGTATAAGAAGGTTTACAAAAACGGAAAATTATAGAGGCAAAATTATAATTGGCTGCTCGCGAGGGACTATAACTCTTATTACATATTTCTCTAGAATCGTTACGCCGCGCCGTAGTGAGAAAATCGCGTGATCGATATCATTACCAATTCAAACGAAGGACTCCTGTATACTTTGCAATACGTTTTGTAGCGCATGGCCGCATATGTATATCTCTTAAACACGTCGCCCGATCAATGAAACTCATATGATGAGAGGGGGTCATGGGAATACGTCCGGGTTCGTCAATAAAACCATTTTATTTACGACACTCACATCCTCTTTACAAAGTCACAGCCTTATCGAGACGATAAAGTATATCAACACGCATCATCCATATTATACATCCATATTTATATAATTCCTCTTTTATATATATATAAATTCTGCATCTATACATAGATATAAGTCATTAAAGCTCTTCTTCTTTTTCTTCTTCTTCTTTTTTTTTTGTCTTCTTACAATAAATCAACACCCGTAGGAAGAATAAAAATGTATCTTGCTACTTTTTAGTGAAGATTGATTTTACGCGCTTTGAGCAAAGGTGCCGGAAACAATCGGAAATAGAAAAACTCGGTTCGAGTGAGTCAGGCCGGTGCGACTTATTGTATATAAATACCCTCGAACTTGGCGAAAGGTGAATTCAAAATGAGTCTTACGAAGGAACCATTGTTTTACATAAATTGGTTTGCGAAATACAAAAATAACTTGAGATATGGTCCTCTTTTAGAACAAGAGCATACGATAGACAAAAAGCCTATTCTTTTTCCATACCTCAAGACTGAATTTACATAGTTCTTACTTTTGTCTTTTCACATTGGAAAGAAAAAGACAAAAGATGAACTGTGCAAGAAGTTCAGCCTTGGAGTATGGATAAAAACAGGCTTGAAGTTTTTTCTTCCTAAATTAAAATTGTTTAAAACATTTGGAAGAAATTAAAAATTGTAATGTAGTGATATATTTTGTCTTAATAAGCACTATCATTATACCTGGCTAACTGTCCTTTTTTTGTTACTTGTTTAATATTTAATTCTCCAAACCATTTAGAGCATTAATTAAATAGCATTAATTAAAATTGTGTTATATGCATGTAATGTCCAGCTAACATGCAATGTCTAAGAGTTGTCTTTACGATGTTTTTTAGATATCTTTTAGAAATGTATGTTTTAAAAGATATCTTTATCTTTTACACATGCACATTGCATGGGCATTGTATGGCACATTGAGTGGTAATGTTACATACATTACCATGGACTTTTCATAAATGACACAACAGTCGGCCGACACTTCATCTATTATGTGCTCTTGTCCTGGGAATTAAAATCTGATTTGCCTGTACCGAATGTATCTAACTAATGAATGCACCTTGACCGCGCGAAATATTGAACACCTAGGACGATTATACAGCGTAAAAGTGACGACGACATCGAGTTTAGAAATTCGGAGAACTGCCCCTTAGAAATCTTTATATCCCTGATAAATAACGGGAGTACAACCAGAGCATTCTGACCAAGATTGATCGATAAATGTCTTACATTTTGATTCGTCGATACGTATAATACAACCGCGGGTGCCGCAGAAAGATATGCGTCAGTGTATAGTTTAAGTGAAGAAGTAAATAGTTTTAATTTTTCTCGTTATCCTAAATCTCATGTTACTCTAATCGCTATAGTCTAACATCCCTTGAAGTTTCTCTCCTTTGGGGTTTACAATTACTTAGAGAATTACAGATCATTTCTAAACAGAATCATGAGGCTCATAACATATTCTCATAATTCGACTTTCTATAATAAGCCATCAAGCCTAAGCTTCAAATCTTAAGAAATTAAGTATTCACAGTTCGAATGTGCGAAAAATAATCAACTACGATTGATTAATTCTTTAAGACTTAAAACTTAAAGCTTAGATTTAATGGCTTATTGCAGAAAGTTTTTAAGATTTGTAGGCAAGAACTTACTTAAGTGCTTATAAGTTTATGCAATATTACAGCAATATTACAGCTTCCTACTAATCATAAGATTTATGAGAAATCGTAAATATTTATGAATGATCGATTTTAGGATACATATGCATAAAATGACATCAATCATAAGTTTTTACGAGAACAAGTTTTGAATTTCACGATTCCATTTAGAATTGACCTATTAAATTACCTGGACAGTAAGGTCCCGTGGATTTATGTGTCTAGGACGCGTAGAGGACTCGCGAGAGAACCGCGAGAATAAATAATTAATTAATTGTCTAAAAAACAGTTCGTGACATCGAATATAGTATATTGCAAAATAGTGATCCACGAGTTAGACCCGATATGATAAAATCCGCGCGGATGGAAAAGTCCTAATTGTATCTCTATTTCGGACGTCATTCCCGCGCGCGAACGGTTGTCGATAACACGCTAGGCGATATATATTTTTTTGTACTACGTCATATATTGCTATTCTCTATGTCGAAAGAGACGATGACGCGCGGAGCGTCGCGCTGCTCCTTTCCTCACTTGCGCGATAGAAGTACTTATAAGATAAACATAGTGATGGCAACTATAAAGATGACAACTGTACAAATTTTACATGTGGAATTAACGTATATAATTAACACACGTAATTGAATAAATTATTTCATAGCGATAATTATGCGTGGATAGTTTGATAAGTCAATGACTTTTTAAAAGGAGACTACGTTAAAAATAATAAAAATAATTATTTTTGTACAAGGAATTACCATTCAGTTATATTATAGGTTTGTCTTCACCTTATATAAAACTTGTATAGTTGCCATCTTTATACTATCATCACTATTTTTTTCTGAGTGTGAGAAACGACAAAAGAAAAACGAAAAAAGATTCATCGTTGATGCCAGAATTGGATCAAGTGGACCAACTTAATTGTCAATGTATGACTGCGCTCGTAATCACGGCTATTTTATCAAGTAAATTTGTGGTAATAAATAAATATATAAGACACGTCTGTTTTATAAAATTATGGCGTTAAATGAGATCGTTGAAAAATACAAGTCGGCGCTAGAAAATAGATCTAGAACTGGAAGACTAATCGGAAATAAAACGTTGTCTCTCCATCGTGTTCCTATCTCTCGATGATACGCCGAGGGAATCGAGATATACAGCTATAATATAATCCGAGGTCCAGCCACAGAGCATTTTTCATCTTTTCGACGTGCGACATGTATCTATCGAAAAATAAAGGAGCGCGTAAAAGCGCCCGTATGTCTGTGTTTGCGTGTATATGCACTTGCACATGAACGAGTTTGCTAAAATATCTAAAAATTTAGGCAGATCTAAAAATAAATCTAAAAATTGAAAAATAATTTAGTTGGACCATTAAAATAATTATGGAAATTTTCATTAAAATAATTATGGAACTTCTCCATACAGAACGATGCTTTACTCAAACAGCATAGATCCCTAGGGAACGTCCTGAGGACGTTCGTATGTCCTTTAAACATTCTGAGAACATCCCCAGAATGTATCCCGGATAAAGTGTACTATTAGGAATGTTATAATATTACTGCAATATTGCTGGAAGGTGATGTTACTGAAATATTGCTGGTACGTTGCAAATGATGCAATATTGCTGAATAAATTTATGGGCAAGCATGATAATCAATGCTGCAAAAAGTTTTGACAATCTAGCAATCAGCCTGAGTGTTTTACGTAATTATTTTGATAGACCAACAAAATTATTTTCAGATTCGTGTGCAGTCTAGTTAAATTTTTACATACTTCAACAAAACCGTTCTTTTTATATGTGTGTATATGTATGTGGTACGGATTACGGAGGGATCGTGATTAATCCTTAACCAGTTTTGATGCCCTAACTTGAATATTTTACATAATTATTTTAATAAACCAACAAAATTATTTTCAGATTCGTGTCTAGCTAAATTTTTATATACTTCAACAAAATCGTTCTTTCTGTATGCTCGTGTATGGTGTGTATGTTGTGAGTGGCACGGATTACGGAGGGATCGTGATTAACCCTTAACCAGTTACAGGTTTTCGATAAATATTCTCTTTGGTGTAACTATTGCATTAACCATCACGAGGCTCTTTGAAAAAAAAAAGAAAAAAAAGTGCCGGACGAATGCTCGTACTCACCAGTTAAGGGTTAAATATTCGTATCGAGTGGCGCGAGTGCGATTCATTCCCACCCTCTCGGGGATGATCGCCGGCGAATTCGATCGCGAGGCAAACGAGCTGAGGGGGGGAGGGGATGGAAGCAGGGCGCCGGTTCGTGTTGCCTAGCGGCACGGACGTTAGATTATCATCTCGTTCTCCCTGTTCTCGTTCCTCTGGTTCTCTTCGTACTCGTCGCAGCAGCAACAGTTCGACGTGCAGTCCTCCTGGTTCTCGGCCACGTACGTCATGTACGTGTCGATACTTTTGGCGTCCAGGGACGGCAGGGACCACGAGAGCGAGGTCGTTTCGAGGTCCGGGATGGCCGTATGCCAGGAGCTGGGATTATGCGACCTTTTGGCTTTGCGGCTTTTGGTGGACAGCTTCTTGATTGCCTATAAAAGAGGAAGCGTAGACCGCTCTGATGAATAACGAACGAAAAGAAAAAGAAAGGGGAAAAAACGAGACAGAGAGAGAGAGAGAGAGAGAGAGAGAGAGAGAGAGAATGAGAAAAAGAAAGTGCACCCCGTCGCGAAAAAGGTCGTCATGAGTTACATGATTAATAAAGCTAATTTCACGATAGAGTTATCCATCAACACGTCACGACACTTAAGAACATCGATCCATAATAATTGACCGTCACGCGGGGAAATTTCACGCCTAGGCAGAATGACGTAAACAGCAACGTGTGATTTAATCTTTCACAACGTGTGTACCGTTAAAATCTCACATGGAACAACACGAGGGTAAATTAAATAAGACTCAGCGTTGAAGCTACTTGAAGCAAAGCAAACCGGACTACCGGAAGTGATTCCGGTCGAGCGAAGACCGGGACGATTTGGATTTGGATTTCACAATTGCCGCACTTACAAAAATTAGGTCGAGCAAAATAATAAAATACCGAAAAAATCAGTCGTCCGTCGAACGTCTCGTTAAAAAAACGGAGGACCATCACTTACCCGCAGAATCCTGCGGCCGGACTTGCCGAGGAATTTCTTCAGCATCGCGGCCGATCGTCGTCACCCTCGCCTCGTAAGGAAACAATCCTCTTCGCCGATCGTTCTTCGGCGCCGCGGGCGCGAGAACCTGACACGCGCCGGGATTGATTTTCGGCTCGTGTGCGCGCCTCTCTTATCCGCGCCCTTACGGTTTGCCTACGTTCGCGCCGTCGTTACGGATCGATGCGAACGCAACGGCGTCACGCGACGAAATACCGCTCCGGAACGCCGCGCCTCCCCATTTATGACCCCGACCGATGTCCCGTGCTCCGATCCCGCACGATCATCCCCGAGCCACCCGAGACTGCGGCATCTCTCACGCCGCAACCCCCTCGTCGTGATCACGAGGAAGATTTCCGGAGTGGCGTGCTCCAGGCACTTAACCCTCGCGGAGATGGATGAAGATGGACTAATGAGCAACCGGTAATTACGCCCAGCTTGACGCAACAGTAATTTCCATTCCGCGGTGGCATCACCCTTCCGATTTAGATTGATTTTAATTGACGGTCTTGAATGCGACGGATAAACTTCTGCTTATTTGACATTTCGTAAATTGTGTCTGATTCTATGTACTACATGAACTGCTTATTAACATGATAGAGAATTTCTCGCTTAGGAAAGAGAGATTAATTCTCATTTTGCATGCACTTTATCTTTATTTCCAAATCCTTTTTCATCGTAATTTTTTTTTCGTTTTTTTTTCACAGGAAATGTTAGAGTTCAGGTTTAAACTCATTTCTCCTAAAGCGACAGTATTACTCGTACATCCGTTATGGCATAAATTATAATAAATAAAGTTTGCCATAAATGTAAACGCGGATTTATCGTAGAAATGTAGGCCACTCGTAATAATATGATAATGTGATATACATTCACAAATTATAACGCAGTTTTTATCATTTTCTGATTAAACTAATATTTCTCTTGTTCTTTCAAACATTGGCTTGATTTCTTTCCTTCATCCCCTATTAACTAATTATATTAATATAAAACTAATCAATCAATCAAAAATTGAATATAATTTATAATATTACATTTCTCTAATATTTCTCATAACGTAACAAAAATATGTATAATAAACGATAAAATATGAATATTTATATTTTATAAATTATGATGGAGAAAGTATCGTATTTGCCGGTATTATATTCAAGAATATATTACACGTAGTTTTTAACAAAATTAAAAAATTACAGCTCTTTCTATATTGTATTTAAAAATAATACAAAAAAGATAGGCGCCGATTTAGAATTTAAATAAAAAGTTATTTTAATAATTAGACACGCTTTAAAAAAAAAATAAAGATAAAATGAGATATTTTTTATTTAAGCTATGAAATGATTTAACATTGACTTTATTGTTTCATATGTACTGTTTCATATGTATAATATTTAATATTCATTTTTATACAGAAAATTAAAATTTTTAATTCCAGTAATGGAGGAGAGATTACACCCTTGATACATCCTTAAAATATAAGTACATGTAACAAATAAGAAAACCAAAACGGTTCCATCTGTCTGTAACCAGAGAATGCGAGGTACCGATTAATCAATGCACAATTCGATAAGGAATACGCGTGCGTGCGAGTCCTCGCTGCAATGCACTGTGCGATGGAATAGAACGAGTGCTTAATGGCCCGTAGGGAATAGAGGCGAGAATAAGAACGAACTAGATTAATACACGAGTGATTGAATGAGAAAATCTATCGCGAGAGGCAATCGCTGATTGACGAAACGCTGATATAAGTGATATAAGTGATAATTTTATCAGACTGCGATTCTGATCGATTAATTCATCCTTAATTCGAGTAGATCATTATAGATGATGGTATCTCAATGGCTATATTGTATTATAATTTTTCTTACATGAGCACATGTATCACGTTCGTAGAAAAGTAACACAAATAAGAAATTAGTACTGAATGTAGCGTTTGAATTTTTAAGATTGACATGACAACAATAGTTTTAAAAAATACATTTTAAAACATTATTTGACAAAAAATCATTTTTTCGTCAAAATATCATGGTACATTTCCAGAAAATCTTTTTCGTGAAAAATATGATACCGTTGATAGAATTTTTTGCATAGCATGTCAGGAAAATGTCATTTTTAGTCAATTTTACCTCAATTTATTCAAAATCCTGATGTGCTATGCAAAAAATTCTGCTAAACGCCTGTTTAGCGCGAAAAAAATCTTCGAGACATGACTATTATATATGACATTTCGAAAAAAATGGGTTGAATAATGTAATTGAGTACATATAATTGAAAATATTATAACATGAAAAGTAAGCAAAGTTATACATATTCATCATTAAGGTTTCTATTCACTCATCATTACTATCTTAGAGTATGACGTCAGACGCGAGAAATGCACAACAAAAATTCTTGCAAATTATATTTGAATACAAATATTTTTCAATAAAGCAACATTTGCAGTCGATGAATAGACATAAAATATACCGAAAATTATTTTCTCGTTTCGGGGAGAATTAATGTTATATGTTAATTTCTATGTTAACTTGATAGTTTATCATAATCATAAACAAATTCACGTTCATGCATATTTATTTATTAATATTGAATTCGTTTCTTTGGAGCAAATTTAACACTTGAATGAGAGTTGCTCTTATTTGTGTATTCTTTTAGATCTAAGATCTGATAATTGGATGATCCAAAAAGATACATTAATAACAGAGAGAGCTTACTCAACTATTATAGGAGCGAAATAAAAAAAGAATTTTCGATATAATTTATAAAACAATAATATCAATTGTAAGTAGATATATTGTGTTAAACATATTTTTAAATTAACATATTTTGCAAGAATTTATTTACTATATTTTTTGCTTCTGACATCACACTCTGGATAGTAATATTATAATTCGACAAGAATCTTAATTAAATCGTTGTTTAAACTCAGAATTAAAAAAATACTTTGCTGAAAGTAATTAATTTTGAGTAAATTTTGAAATTTTCTGTCAACACAGCGATGTCGAAAAAAACATTTGCAAATTCAGTACGCCCGCGAAAAAAATGTTTTATATAAAATTATATACTACATATAATTATATATAACTGTATATAAATGGACATATTTTACATATATTATTATATATAATTTTATATAATTTGGTATATAATTTTAGATAATATATAAAACATTTTTTTCCCGGGCGATTACGTAAGATTAAATCTGAGAAAATGTGATTTGACGACATCAGAAATCTAAAGGTTCAAAGTTCAATATTATTCCAATTAAGCGCACAGAGTTCATTAATTTTCGTTTATCCGTAGATATTATTTATCATTGTTTATGAATTATCCAATATTTCCGATTTACGCACCTGTGCTGCGTAAACGCATGTATTGTAGTATGCGTAAAGAACAAAGCACGTATAAGGACAAAGCACGAGTCGGCATGCGCGCGTGCGTACGCATGCACGTGTACGCACGTGCACTACCACACGTACCCATGCAAATATGAAGAATGTTTCGCAAGATATCATCAGACGTAAAACGGGAGAAGCGGGGAGAAAAATTAAAAATGAAATATTAAAGGACGGCGATAAATTTCATTTTGCGGTCGGCATTTTATCATAACAATTTCGCGCTGTCGTTAAAAATTCAAGCATGAAACGCGAATCATATATGTATGCGATATAAAATATGTAGCGCGTACCGATTTATTTATTTACCAGACCTTACCTTTTGTTCAATTTTTAGTTAAATCGATATATCGCATTTATTATTTCAACGAATTGCTATGGATTTATTTTTCATGTATCTCTACATTTTTGACAATAATTTTATGCAGCTATTATTCTATTAATTAAAAAGAGTTAAAGAGTTTTATAATATAATTCTCATTTCTGTTTGTCCATTTTTCAGTATTTTTTTTTAATTTCGAAATGTCAAAAGGTTTACTCATTAACAATTCCTGCATCGAGAGAGGTTAAATAATTTAACATTTCGCCGAGACCTTTAAATGCAATCATTAATTCTTTCATGTTCATTCGCAACAATAGATGTGCTGTACAATACAATACATTCGAAAAATTGACATTAAAATAATTTCTTTATTACAAAATAATATCTTTCCTTCTTGTTTCATTAAAATGTAATCAATATTGTTGATATATTTAAACGTACTGTTTGCACGCCTTTTAGAATTAAATATTATATTATGTGAAATATCGTAACAATTGCAAAATCATTTTTTAACAAAAACGCCTCCATTTAAATAGTAAATTATTCTTTGACCACAATGATAACGTAAATGGCCGAGCGAGCGCATGTGAATGAAATTTAATCGATGCTTCACCGAGAAGTCGAGTACGAGAGCGCGAGTAAATCCCGGGAGCCCACGCGCTTTACTCATTCTCTCTTTCTCTCTCTCTCTCTCTCTCTCTCTCAACTGCGTGCACACACGTGCGCGTATGACGCGTGTGAGCGCGGCCGTTCTCACGCGGCGGCACGCGCCGTGCGTGTCTCTCCCTTTGCTTCGCCGATATGCACGTCGTCGGGCCACGTGCCACCCCCGAGTGGCCCTACGGAAAACTCATAATTGTCATAACATACGAGAGTACGTTGCCGCGAGCCGACCGTGAAAGGATCCTCCACCATCTCGATCCCTCCATCAAGGAATTGGAATCGCGAATGTACTCCGGTTAGTTAATCATTCAGAGGTTCCGATAAATCTCTCCCGAGATTGCGATATCTCGAGCTAACGATTATGTCTTATTGAACAGGCGTTTTTTTTATCGTAAATAGACAGAACTTGACAGTTATTCGTGACATTGGTCAAACAATACAAAGTCCACAAAAATTAGGACATGAGTCTTATAAGATGTCTAAAAGATGTCTTAACCCGGGTGTAGTCATCTAATTTTTTTATGTAAATAATTACCTGAGATGTTTTTACATCCGATTAAAGTTATTATTTTTAATAATATTGTATATTATTGATTATGTTCGAATATTTATTAATATTTGTGAACATTGTAAATATGAATTTAATCACATTTTTTTAAAAGTAAGTAGAAACAAATATTAAACGAAATAAGCTCGTTAAATAGCTTATATATTATGACAATATTTTTTAAAGAATAAAGATTTTAATTAATGTAACGCTTTTTATTAACGCGGGTTTTCAAATTTACGGAATTACGTATTTAAAAGTTCATAAAGAATAGAATTAAAAATAAAAAAGAAAGAAAATATGTTAAACAATGTTCTTACAAAGCAATATTTTATAATTCATATTTTAAAATAAAATAAAATAAAGTAGTAACTATATAATGGTTCTAAAACTGAATCAAACACAAATAAAATGCTTACGCGAATCTGTGGATATTAGTGCGTAAATTAAATATTTATAACATGATAATATACATATAATATACATACTTGGACTGAAAATGTTGTAATATAGCAATTTTTGAAAAAGAATCAATAGTAATATAAAGATACGAACCACTTAAATTTTATTTTTTTCAAATCTAGAAAAATTCAGAATTACTTTTCAATATGTCATTTAACTCAAACGTTAAAATCTTTATTTAATAAAAATTAAAATTTGTGCTAAGAAATTTGAAAATAAAATATGGGTTAAAAAAGGCTCAGTGTGCCTATAATACGAAAAGTTAATATTGATCAATTTAGTACTAAAAGACAATAATTCATTATATATTATAAATATCAAGAGATTATACTCTTTCTATAATACTCTTTAATAAATCAGTTTAGTGGTAGATAAATTAGTTTGGTTTTCCTTTATAAAAGAAATTGTTTTCAAGTGAAGTAATACGTCGACCCAAGTCTTAGACACGTCTTGTGATCCGATTTTAAACTTTGTCTGAATAAAATTTACAATTGTGAAGAAAATGAATCGGACTTTCCAAGTCCCCAAGCGAAAATATGTGCGCGTACTTCGTCTCTTGTTTTTCATCAAATGAATTACGTAATAATTGTATCGCATCATGAATGCTGACGCAAAATGATTGAGCGAGATTCTGCGGAGGTAAATCCCTCATCTTCACTCGTGATTCACTTACTGCGTTGCAATTATTGCAACGCGTTCAGCTCGGTGACGCGGACTTAGAGCAATCATTTTTTCGCGCGGTTGAGGGGAAACAATCGTCATCGCCGATGGGGTATAACGAGCGGCGCGTGGCAGTGACGCGTGGCTACAAATGCGCGCTCAAACATCGTGGCTCGGCGAAAATAAGTCCTGCCTAATTGAGGCGGCCGTTCCATTATAGAGATTAGACTGGATTAAACTTCAAACGAGGTTTGCATTGTATATATATGCATATGTGTGTGCGTGTGTGTGTGTGTGTGTGTGTTTCGCAATTAATTACCTTAAGAAATATTATCTTTTAAAATATAAACGTATAAAATAAGTTTTAGGGGAAGATTTAGAGAATAACAATATTTAGCTGCGGATTTTAGTTAATTATATACTAATAGAAGGACAGATAATGGATAGATATAATGTGAATTAAAAGAAATTAAATTAAAGTAAACCAAATCTCTTCTTAATATGTAAATTGAATTAAGTATTGAATTAAAACAAAAGTAACGTTACTTCAAAATTCAAGCAGTAGTAACTTCGTTAAAAATAAACATAATTTAAATTATAAAAAAGAGCTTTTAGAATAAAGAAGAGAATAGAATAACAAAGTTATACTATGTTATTTAGTTCCTAATTTGATAATTTTTAAATTTAGAAAATTATGAGTTGAACAAAATGGAAAATTTTCTTCTCATTTTGTGGATTTATCACGTATCCAAAAAAATTTACGAAAATTTTTGACTTTCTAATGTAAAAGCTTAAAATTTTCTCTAGAAAAAAAAACTCATTTTTTAAATATTCCCAAAATTTTTTGTTACTAAATTATTGCAAATTAAATAAAAGAAGCATTTTATTCGATTGCTTAAAATTTCATTGTTAAAAATCATCGTGTAGTGTATCACAATTTAAAAAACAAATTCTGAGACTTTATTCTATTGAATAGTATAATTGTTAAAAAAGTATTTCTTAAAAATCTGTAGAGATGGTATAAGTGAAGTAACACTACAAACTTTTGTTCCGACTTGATAATAAAATTTGTTTTCTATTATTAAAAAAAAAAATTAAAAATAAATATTAAAATGGAAATACGCGCTCAGATATTGCGGCTCAGTAAAAATAAATTTAATCGAGGTGATCAGTACGAAGATTCTATTATAGAGATTAAACTTCAAAACAAACAAACTTTGCATTTGTGTGTAAATATGTGTGTCTCGCAATTAATTAACTTTTTTAAAAAATTAATCTTTTATGTAAAAAATATTACCTTTTGGAAAAAAAATTTTTAATGGATATTAAAATGAAAATTTGAAATTTATTTAATAATTAGAAATGAAACATAATTCTGGTACTTGTTTTACTATCGAATTTCATTATCAAACGCGTCACGGATTGCATAAGCACCGTTACGTCAACGCGACGTTCGATTTGTCGCAAATATTTGCAAAAGTCGACGCGTCATGATCATTCGGCACGCAACGAATGTTGACACATTTGTTGTATAATTAGAATACTAGGACTGATGATTGCTAGTACTTAGTGCTAGCTCAACACTAGAACTATCGATTAATTGACGATTAACATATGTCAATTATTTTTATTTAAACAGATAAATAAAAAATTGATTCATTTGTTTTGAAAAAGAATTTTATTAAAATTATAAAGATAGTGAATTCTAAATATGTTAAAAACACCAAAGACATTTCTTTCTACAACGTGGAACATGAACTTTTTATTCCAATTCGTCACAATATTTTTGAAAAGCTACAATAATATAACTATAATCATTATTCTGTTAACATGTAATCTTTTCACAGAGTTTTTTTGCAATAAAGTAAATTAAATAAAATAATTCAAATTGTTCGAAAAATTTTTCTCTTAGCTCTAATTCAATTAAATTTATTAGAAAGAATTTGTAAATCTTAATTTATTAAATTAAATTACCCCTAAGAGAAAGACTTTAATAATCTTTGTAATTTTACACATTACAGATATTCGATCTTTGACAATATGTCTAATGTTATCCTATCCGCGTCATAAAGCAGCATAATTTTTGAACGTCATGGAAAAAAAGGTGTTTACGGGCAAAAAGATTATCGTACAAAGTAAATGAGATTAGGGGGATATTTATAATCGCAGAGATATCACAATAGGTCTATATGTAACACGGCTATATAAACAAACGTGCGTACGTAAACTGGAATAAGTAAATAAACATGCAATACTGATCACTTAAAGTGCAAATATCAAAGTATCAAGTATCAAAGGTGTGGGAATGATTTATGTTTCGAATATGCCAAACGAAGTATCAACAGAAAGATGATAGTGTAAATATCGACAAAGAAAAAATTATAACATAATGAAATCATGTAAATATTGTTTTAAAATTTCGAAGATATCTCATAAAATTATCAGAAAAGATTCGTATGACGTCTTTAAGATATTTAGTCTTCTGATTTATGACGTCTTTGAGATTTTATTTTGTCTTTAATGTTTTAGCTAGAATCGTTTTTTTAGGTATTATATTTCGATAATACCATTTAGATATGTAGTAACATATACGTACAAATGGAAAAAGAGTTAAGAATAGTTCAATAAATCGATATATCAATAATTTAACGTCCATATATTTTAATTATAACAATTTAATATCCATTAGTTGAAAATTTTATATAGTTGATCAGAACTACATAAAATTTTCAACTAATAAATATTAAATTGTCATTACAATTTATGCATAAATTATTGACATATTAATTTAGCAAATAATTTTTAGCTCTTCTTTCTGTTTGTATATACATATTACTATATATTTAAATTATGCATACACGTATACATTATATACAATAAGAAATAAAATTGAATCAGTTGATGAGGTGATGCCTTTTAGAACCAAACACAGGATATTGTGAAAGAAAATTTATTTTTCACACCAATATCTATGTTCATATAGATTCATCTCTAATAGCCTTGATTCAACATTATTTAATTTATATTAATAAAATTGAAGTTTTTAAAAATGGCATAAAGTGTTACTCATCAAAAGAATTAATAGAAAGAAAAGAAGAAAGAAATAATATAACTTCATGCTATTTTTAAAAACGTTAATTCTATTTTTTTTTAATTTCATTTACAAAGGTAAGAGATTATAATTAAATTTAAGTTTAATTAGGATCAAGTTAAATTAACTAATGCAGTTGATTTTATTTTTTACAAATTCGCCAAAATAACAAAATATCAAAAACAACAAAGTATCAAAGAGAATATAGGCTGCAAAAATTTTTTTATTGAATAATATCAAAATATTGTTTAATGAAATCGTATATTCTAATTTACATGTCTTCTTAAAATATTATTCAATAAAATCGTATATTCTAATTTACATGAACTTTTTAGATTATATATAACATCAATACCTTTTATTTTTATTTACTTGTATTCATCAAAAATATATTATCAATTATATATATGTTAATTAACAAAACAATATTAATTTTTATCGAATACATGTATGTACATTCAAAGAATGAAATCGCCCACGCCATACACGCATAGCTTAAATAAACATAATTAATATATTCTATCGTATTGTAATTACATTTTCAACGATTATTCATTCGGTATCAAGTAAAGGAGTGTGCACATTTTTTGGATCGAAGGGAATATTACTTTCATTGCCGGGTAATGACATAGGTATGACTTTAGCACGAAACTCATATGGCAAAAAATCCTGACAGAAATGATAAAAGTCCATACGAGTATTGATGAGTTTCAAACGAGCCATTTCCTTCATCAGAGCCTTTAATTCGATCTTATAATTTTCGTAATTCTTACGACGCTCAATAATAGTTACTACCGTAGCTAATTCCTGCACGAATTTCTCGGACTTCACTCTTGTGGCCAGTTTGTACTTTGGCTCCAAGCGTTTCCACAAAAATTTGTAAAGCCGATCTGTAGCCCAATGTTTCGGACGAGGAAGTCTTGGTGGTCTATATACCTTTCCATGTACTAGAAATGCCTTATTCACTACTTTCGTAGAATTCATGAGCGGCTTCTTCTTCTTTGTATCTTGTTTAGGTATAACAAATTTTACTGTTTCCTTTTTTACTGCAGATGCTTTCTTATCGGCCGAGTTTCTTTTCATCGCGGCCATCTCGCGACTCTTTAGCTTCTCCAATTCCATTTTAATCTTCTTCATTTTCTCACTGTCGAAGACTTGCGACTTTTGCGCGCGTTCGCTTAGTTGTTTCGTCGAAGTTTCTTTTATTTTGATGAAAAAACTATCTATTTTTTTCAATGTCTTAGATGAACTTTGCTTATTGGAAGAAATATCTTTACTTGACGATTTAATCGGCGTATTGCGATAGTTTTGAGACTTGCTCAAACTTTTTTGTCTATGTGTAATTTCTCTGTCCTTAATGCTGGTTCTATTTGAACTCTGCACGCTTTGCCGATTTACTGTTTTACTTGTTCCAGGTTTCATCAAAGAATTTCGTTGAATTGTTTGTGTCGCAGGTTCTGCATTTTCATCATCAATTATTTCTTTTTCAGTTGATAAAATAGTGCTTTTCTGTATTCTTATGTTTGTGTTATCTTTAGATTGTATATCTGTTCTGGATATACTATTATCACTTGTTTCTGAGTCTGCATTTATATTATTGTCTTCTTCAATATCGGCAATCAAGTTTGTAGATCGCTTAGAAATTTCCATATTTTTACTCGTAAGTTTCGGTATTTTAGATTGATTTATTATTTTACTGCTTGTTCCAGACTTTGTCAATGAAGAATTTCGTTGAATTGTTTGCGTCGCAGGCTCTGCATCTTCGTCATCAGTTATTTCTTTTTCAGTTGATAGACTAGTGCTTTTCTGTGTTCTTATATTTGTGTTATCTTCAGGATGTATATCTGCTCTCGTTATTAGATAGACTGTACTATCTGTACTTGTTTCTGAGTCAACATTTATATTATTGTCTTTATCATCATTGGAAATAAAGTTCATAAACTGCTTAGAGACTTCCGTATTTTTACTCACAGGTTTCAGTATTTTAGATTGATTTCTTGAACTGTTACGCGTCAAACGATCTTCCTTACTAGAATTTGATTTGGACAATTGTTTAAGCATATTTGAATCGTGTTCGCTATTTGCATCATTGCGCGAATTATTAATATCTTCATGTATATCTATATTTGCAGGTTTTGATGTTTCAGATCGATTTCTTAAACTATTACGCGTCAAACGAGCTTCCTTACTAGGGGTTAATTTAGACGATCGTTTGAGCGTACTTGAATCATGTTCTCTATTTGCATCATTGTGTAAATTATCATTAGCTTCATGTACTTCTATATTCACAGGTGTTTCGGACCGAATTCTTAAACTATTACGCGTCACACGAGCTTCCTTACTAGGAGTTAATTTAAACGATCGTTTGAGCGTACTTGAATCATGTTCTCTATTTGCATCATTGTGTAAATTATATTTTATTCGATTGCTTAAAATTTCATTGTTAAAAATCATCGTGTAGTGTATCACAATTTAAAAAACAAATTCTGAGACTTTATTCTATTGAATAGTATAATTGTTAAAAAAGTATTTCTTAAAAATCTGTAGAGATGGTATAAGTGAAGTAACACTACAAACTTTTGTTCCGACTTGATAATAAAATTTGTTTTCTATTATTAAAAAAAAAAATTAAAAATAAATATTAAAATGGAAATACGCGCTCAGATATTGCGGCTCAGTAAAAATAAATTTAATCGAGGTGATCAGTACGAAGATTCTATTATAGAGATTAAACTTCAAAACAAACAAACTTTGCATTTGTGTGTAAATATGTGTGTCTCGCAATTAATTAACTTTTTTAAAAAATTAATCTTTTATGTAAAAAATATTACCTTTTGGAAAAAAAATTTTTAATGGATATTAAAATGAAAATTTGAAATTTATTTAATAATTAGAAATGAAACATAATTCTGGTACTTGTTTTACTATCGAATTTCATTATCAAACGCGTCACGGATTGCATAAGCACCGTTACGTCAACGCGACGTTCGATTTGTCGCAAATATTTGCAAAAGTCGACGCGTCATGATCATTCGGCACGCAACGAATGTTGACACATTTGTTGTATAATTAGAATACTAGGACTGATGATTGCTAGTACTTAGTGCTAGCTCAACACTAGAACTATCGATTAATTGACGATTAACATATGTCAATTATTTTTATTTAAACAGATAAATAAAAAATTGATTCATTTGTTTTGAAAAAGAATTTTATTAAAATTATAAAGATAGTGAATTCTAAATATGTTAAAAACACCAAAGACATTTCTTTCTACAACGTGGAACATGAACTTTTTATTCCAATTCGTCACAATATTTTTGAAAAGCTACAATAATATAACTATAATCATTATTCTGTTAACATGTAATCTTTTCACAGAGTTTTTTTGCAATAAAGTAAATTAAATAAAATAATTCAAATTGTTCGAAAAATTTTTCTCTTAGCTCTAATTCAATTAAATTTATTAGAAAGAATTTGTAAATCTTAATTTATTAAATTAAATTACCCCTAAGAGAAAGACTTTAATAATCTTTGTAATTTTACACATTACAGATATTCGATCTTTGACAATATGTCTAATGTTATCCTATCCGCGTCATAAAGCAGCATAATTTTTGAACGTCATGGAAAAAAAGGTGTTTACGGGCAAAAAGATTATCGTACAAAGTAAATGAGATTAGGGGGATATTTATAATCGCAGAGATATCACAATAGGTCTATATGTAACACGGCTATATAAACAAACGTGCGTACGTAAACTGGAATAAGTAAATAAACATGCAATACTGATCACTTAAAGTGCAAATATCAAAGTATCAAGTATCAAAGGTGTGGGAATGATTTATGTTTCGAATATGCCAAACGAAGTATCAACAGAAAGATGATAGTGTAAATATCGACAAAGAAAAAATTATAACATAATGAAATCATGTAAATATTGTTTTAAAATTTCGAAGATATCTCATAAAATTATCAGAAAAGATTCGTATGACGTCTTTAAGATATTTAGTCTTCTGATTTATGACGTCTTTGAGATTTTATTTTGTCTTTAATGTTTTAGCTAGAATCGTTTTTTTAGGTATTATATTTCGATAATACCATTTAGATATGTAGTAACATATACGTACAAATGGAAAAAGAGTTAAGAATAGTTCAATAAATCGATATATCAATAATTTAACGTCCATATATTTTAATTATAACAATTTAATATCCATTAGTTGAAAATTTTATATAGTTGATCAGAACTACATAAAATTTTCAACTAATAAATATTAAATTGTCATTACAATTTATGCATAAATTATTGACATATTAATTTAGCAAATAATTTTTAGCTCTTCTTTCTGTTTGTATATACATATTACTATATATTTAAATTATGCATACACGTATACATTATATACAATAAGAAATAAAATTGAATCAGTTGATGAGGTGATGCCTTTTAGAACCAAACACAGGATATTGTGAAAGAAAATTTATTTTTCACACCAATATCTATGTTCATATAGATTCATCTCTAATAGCCTTGATTCAACATTATTTAATTTATATTAATAAAATTGAAGTTTTTAAAAATGGCATAAAGTGTTACTCATCAAAAGAATTAATAGAAAGAAAAGAAGAAAGAAATAATATAACTTCATGCTATTTTTAAAAACGTTAATTCTATTTTTTTTTAATTTCATTTACAAAGGTAAGAGATTATAATTAAATTTAAGTTTAATTAGGATCAAGTTAAATTAACTAATGCAGTTGATTTTATTTTTTACAAATTCGCCAAAATAACAAAATATCAAAAACAACAAAGTATCAAAGAGAATATAGGCTGCAAAAATTTTTTTATTGAATAATATCAAAATATTGTTTAATGAAATCGTATATTCTAATTTACATGTCTTCTTAAAATATTATTCAATAAAATCGTATATTCTAATTTACATGAACTTTTTAGATTATATATAACATCAATACCTTTTATTTTTATTTACTTGTATTCATCAAAAATATATTATCAATTATATATATGTTAATTAACAAAACAATATTAATTTTTATCGAATACATGTATGTACATTCAAAGAATGAAATCGCCCACGCCATACACGCATAGCTTAAATAAACATAATTAATATATTCTATCGTATTGTAATTACATTTTCAACGATTATTCATTCGGTATCAAGTAAAGGAGTGTGCACATTTTTTGGATCGAAGGGAATATTACTTTCATTGCCGGGTAATGACATAGGTATGACTTTAGCACGAAACTCATATGGCAAAAAATCCTGACAGAAATGATAAAAGTCCATACGAGTATTGATGAGTTTCAAACGAGCCATTTCCTTCATCAGAGCCTTTAATTCGATCTTATAATTTTCGTAATTCTTACGACGCTCAATAATAGTTACTACCGTAGCTAATTCCTGCACGAATTTCTCGGACTTCACTCTTGTGGCCAGTTTGTACTTTGGCTCCAAGCGTTTCCACAAAAATTTGTAAAGCCGATCTGTAGCCCAATGTTTCGGACGAGGAAGTCTTGGTGGTCTATATACCTTTCCATGTACTAGAAATGCCTTATTCACTACTTTCGTAGAATTCATGAGCGGCTTCTTCTTCTTTGTATCTTGTTTAGGTATAACAAATTTTACTGTTTCCTTTTTTACTGCAGATGCTTTCTTATCGGCCGAGTTTCTTTTCATCGCGGCCATCTCGCGACTCTTTAGCTTCTCCAATTCCATTTTAATCTTCTTCATTTTCTCACTGTCGAAGACTTGCGACTTTTGCGCGCGTTCGCTTAGTTGTTTCGTCGAAGTTTCTTTTATTTTGATGAAAAAACTATCTATTTTTTTCAATGTCTTAGATGAACTTTGCTTATTGGAAGAAATATCTTTACTTGACGATTTAATCGGCGTATTGCGATAGTTTTGAGACTTGCTCAAACTTTTTTGTCTATGTGTAATTTCTCTGTCCTTAATGCTGGTTCTATTTGAACTCTGCACGCTTTGCCGATTTACTGTTTTACTTGTTCCAGGTTTCATCAAAGAATTTCGTTGAATTGTTTGTGTCGCAGGTTCTGCATTTTCATCATCAATTATTTCTTTTTCAGTTGATAAAATAGTGCTTTTCTGTATTCTTATGTTTGTGTTATCTTTAGATTGTATATCTGTTCTGGATATACTATTATCACTTGTTTCTGAGTCTGCATTTATATTATTGTCTTCTTCAATATCGGCAATCAAGTTTGTAGATCGCTTAGAAATTTCCATATTTTTACTCGTAAGTTTCGGTATTTTAGATTGATTTATTATTTTACTGCTTGTTCCAGACTTTGTCAATGAAGAATTTCGTTGAATTGTTTGCGTCGCAGGCTCTGCATCTTCGTCATCAGTTATTTCTTTTTCAGTTGATAGACTAGTGCTTTTCTGTGTTCTTATATTTGTGTTATCTTCAGGATGTATATCTGCTCTCGTTATTAGATAGACTGTACTATCTGTACTTGTTTCTGAGTCAACATTTATATTATTGTCTTTATCATCATTGGAAATAAAGTTCATAAACTGCTTAGAGACTTCCGTATTTTTACTCACAGGTTTCAGTATTTTAGATTGATTTCTTGAACTGTTACGCGTCAAACGATCTTCCTTACTAGAATTTGATTTGGACAATTGTTTAAGCATATTTGAATCGTGTTCGCTATTTGCATCATTGCGCGAATTATTAATATCTTCATGTATATCTATATTTGCAGGTTTTGATGTTTCAGATCGATTTCTTAAACTATTACGCGTCAAACGAGCTTCCTTACTAGGGGTTAATTTAGACGATCGTTTGAGCGTACTTGAATCATGTTCTCTATTTGCATCATTGTGTAAATTATTATTAGCTTCATGTACTTCTATATTCACAGGTGTTTCGGACCGAATTCTTAAACTATTACGCGTCACACGAGCTTCCTTACTAGGAGTTAATTTAAACGATCGTTTGAGCGTACTTGAATCATGTTCTCTATTTGCATCATTGTGTAAATTATTATTAGCTTCATGTACTTCTATATTCACAGGTGTTTCAGATCGAATTCTTAAACTGTTTCGCGTCAAACCAACTTCTTTATCAGAACTTGATTCGGATGTACTTACATCGTGTTCTACATATATGTTAGTATGTGAATCGTCACTTGCATCTTGTATTACTATCTCATTAGTACTTAATCTATCGACGGGCGACATTGCATTTGTATGTGCGGATTCCTTCAAAGTTTTTTCTCTAATGGACTTGCGATTGGAAATCTTTTGTTCTGACGATTTAGCTATTACACTCTTTCGAAAAACTGATTTTGATGCATTATCGAGATCGTTATTTTCTAATAGTTTATTCTTGTCTTCCGATAATATATTAGATTCCTTAGATCGACTTTTCTCGACGTTTGGTGACATCTCAAGAGATATTTCATAAGAACCTTCTTCATTCGTAGTATTCTTTTCTGATTGTGGATTTTTCTGTGTTGCTAAAGATTCACGTTCCTGATTAATCCTTGTTGTAGTTTCTCGCTCAGAAGAAGCATAATTATCTTCAATTGAAACATTACTTCTTCTATCACTGATATTATCTTGCTTCAAAATTTCTTCGAACGGATTAGATGAGCGCTTACGGAAACGTTTTAGAATTCTTGATTTTGGCTTCAAAAATACGGATCTTTTCATTCCACGAGATTCATCGTTATCCAGGGATGAGCTGCTTAAACTTGATTCAATATTATCTTTATCTTGCACCGATATATCTGATTGCTGCTTTTTAGATATATTTAAAGATAATCTTGGACTTTTACGAATTGGTGAACTTTCAGGCATAATATTGCTGGCATTAGATTTTTTTAAAGATGATCGTGACATTAAAGAATGAATATTGTTTTCCTTATTTAGATTGGATGTAGACGAATTTGTGTTACTATCAACTACAGCATCTGCAAAGGCATTTTTTCCTATGCTTTTCCGTGCTTGCCGTATAAAGCGAGACTTAAATTTTAAATGTTGACGAAGTATAATGGTACTTTCATCGCTACTTTCAATCTCAGCATTATTCTCAGACACTGCATTCTCCACATTTGGAATTAAGGAATCAGTTTCAATATCCTCTAGCGCTCTTATTGATTTTCTTTGATCGTCAATATGATCTTTACTCGTATTAATATTTCGGTGCATCGAATGCTGCGAGGATTCCTTTTCAAACGCGACTGATTTTTCCGCAGTGCTGCCATTTAAAACATCATCTTCCACCAGTACATCCTGAAAGGCGGTCTGATCTTTCATACCTCCACTTCTTCTTGTTCTCAAAATACTTGGCATTGTTTGAGGCGATCTTATTGATTTCCTTTGATCGTCAATATGATCTTTACTCGTATTAATATTTCGGTGCATCGAACGCTGCGAGGATTCCTTTTCAAGCGCGACTGATGTTTTCGCAGTGCTGGCATTTAAAACATTATTTTCCGTTAGTACATCCTGAAAGGCATTCTCATCTTTCATATCTCCTCCACCTCTTCTTGTTCTAAAAATATTTGACTTTGATTTCAAAATCTTCGAAGTTGGGCTCGAATTACTATCCTCTTCATTTTCCTGTGACCTTCCTTGCAAAGATTCACTGTCTGAATCGATATGTACTTCAGAGTGGGCTTGTTTCATTCGCGATTTTAATGGCGTAGTTGCCTCGGTATCATTCAAAGCATTTGCGAAAGCATTGTTAATACTCTTCCTATTACTTGCTTTTAAACGAACCTTCCTTTTTCTTAAATTGAGCTCTTTCTCTGATAGATCAGATGTCTCAGTCGAAGTTTGTAATATACGACTTTTAACTATTGCTAAAATAATAATATATCTTATAAGTACTACAATATTTATAATGCAAAATATTTATAATGCAAAACTCCATCTGCAATTATATAATATGTTTACTTCCTCCATCCAGCCAAAATTCTGTTCTAGTTTTTCAAAAAATGTGAAAAAGTTCAAGATTATTTTTCAACATCTTTATTACATTACCAAACAGATTTTTAACAAGATATTTAAGAGGAAGTGCAGAACTCTATCCTGCTTTAATTTGGAGAAATCTGAGTAAAATTTCACTTGCATCAAAAAAGATTCAGATTGCAGACAGAGAGTTGAAAGATTTATTCTTTTAGCTGGACTTTTTACACAGTTCACCTTTTCTTTTTTACTCTTCAACTTGAAAAGGAAAAAAGAAAAGCTAAATCATGAAAGAAGTTCAAGAAAACTAAAAAGAATAAATTAAATATTCTGCCTATTTATACCTGCACTACGCCTAGATCTTGATCTCGAAGCAATGGGTTCGGTATCAGAATCCAAATTTTCCCACCATCCCATAGGATCAGAACTCTGGCTAGAATCAATCCTCGAATCAGCATTCAGCATCTCAAGCGTTTCATTTTCACTGTGAATCATGGAATGCGGAGGGAATGTATTCTCTTCCAAGTTATTCCACCAAAATGTTCGTTCTGTAGAAAGAAAAATATATTAAAATTACATTAAAATCTCTTTTAATTTGTCTGTAACAAAGGTAATGCCCTAAAACGAAGTTGTTTATTTGCTACAATAAATTAAGAAACAAAATTTTCAGAAAATCAGTTTCAATATTTTAAATTAAAATGTTAAAATACTAAATTTGAAATATAATTTAAATGTAACAATTTACAATAATAATATATAATAAACATAACAATTATAATAATTGTAGTGAAATAAAAGTGTGTTCTTTTAAAATATGTTGTTTATTTTCTTTATGTTTCTGTTGATCTTCTGCAAGCAATGAAAAAATGACAATTTTTTAGTTATGTCGTAGCAAATGAGCGAAATGATAAAGGAAAGATATTCCTACCTTCATCCACGACGAATGTATCAGGATCGAGATGTCCAGAACCGAAGGAGTCGACGGATTTACGTTTGGAGTATCGTCGGGATACACGATTTAAGGATTTTCTCTTGGCCATGTTTATGAAGAAACGTATTTTACACGATGAAAAATAACTAGGTTATCTTTACGTGGTTGTATATATACAACTCAAAACCACTCGAGAATACTTGGTTTTACAGCTCAAATAACTATTTTATCGTCACATTGTGAAAATCCGCGCAAATTCTATCACCAGCCATTCGAATGGCGTCGCATATTTTAAATCCGACTTCCACTTTTTAACGTTGAATGTTAAATAGTGATTAGACTATATATACATGAGGTTAGGTTCATGCCGGATCACGTGATCGTAGGCTGCCTTCAGAAAGTACAATAATTCAAAGAACGCAACAGTTGTCTGTGAGTGCGTGATATATCGTTCTAAATTTATCAATTATTTATTTGCTCAAAACTAATTTGTAGTTTACATCCACTTCGTCAGAAGGCAGTAGTGCGCGGCAGCATTTTGCGATTACAGGTTTTGGGACGTCATGTCCTCTCTCATGCCTAGTTCACACTAGACGCGATGAGTGATGAACGACGAGCGATATCCAATAAAAGCTTTGCTTTGTGTGGTCACGTGAGAAAAAGCACAGCTCTTATTGGATATCGCCGTCGTTCATCGACCATCGCGTCCAGTGTGAACTAGGCATGAGAGAGGACATGACGTCCCAAAACCTGTAATCGCAAAATGCTGCCGCGCACTACTGCCTTCTGACGAAGTGGATGTAAACTACAAATTAGTTTTGAGCAAATAAATAATTGATAAATTTAGAACGATATATCACGCACTCACAGACAACTGTTGCGTTCTTTGAATTATTGTACTTTCTGAAGGCAGCCTACGATCACGTGTGGTTTTTTTTCTCTCTGGTTATATATATTTTTTTTTTTGTAATTAATTATATATTATATAATTATATTCTTTATTTAAAAAGAAAAGATACATATAGCTAATAGTTTCCAAAAATTGAACAATTTTATGAATAGCTTTATTCAAATTTAATAATAGATTGTTATATTAGGTGGACCGGAAAGTAATGTTTTTTTTTAAATTATTTTGGCATGACTTTGAAGTAAACAATGAGCTGATAAATGACAAACGAATATCGTTATGCACAGAAACGACATTACTTTCCGGTCTACCTAATATGTATTATTTATTATAATAGATAATAATAGATATTTTTTTATAAATGAAATGTATACGCAATTATAGGAAATTAAATTTATTGAGGAAAGTAAATACAAATAAAATGCCGGATGTGCAATATAATTATATAATATATTCATAACAAAATTACATTTTTCTTCCTAATTTACTATATACATTGTACATAGATACATATATAATTACACATATATAATTACACATATATAATTACAATTATGCTAATATACAAGATACATATACGTCTAAGTTTTCTTAAGATTAGAAAAGTCTATGTTTTTTGTTTCTTATTACTCGGTCCGCTGTCTTGATGATCGTCGCTTTGAAAAATCGTTGTTGGCTGTGTCCTCTTGTAAGCAGGTGCAATCCAGTATGGTTCTTCCTCAGCTATTTTTGCATACTTCAGAATAGCTTCCCTGGGATCCTGATCGTCCTCTATCCGTTTGCTCAATCCAAGATTGCGTATGACATAAGAACTAAGAGTTCCTCCGGAAGATGCTACTCTACCACCCTGCCCGGAAGTGATAGGCAGATCTGGACGCCTCGATTTCACTGGATCGAGCCTGTCCTTCTCCATCTGCTTACGAACTGACTTAGGCCTATCCTGGCGAAACAGAGGAAGCGCATGAGGCGTTATGATTTGCTGAGTGGACATTATCTCGATGTGCTTCTGTTTCATGTGCGTCTTGACGACGCACAGCTTGGCGCCCCTTAAACTCTTCTTGGAATCGTAATACGCCTTGACTATGCCATTGCCGCAGCCGACAAATACCTGATTCAATTTCGGATGCCATAGAGTTTTTATTACGTGTGAATTTGTCACAGGGATTTCTCTGACTAGATCAAACGTCTTACTGTCGTAAAACAGCACTCTGCCGGTCGTCTTTCCTTTATTTAGAGATTCTCCCGTGACGATCATCGAGTCATCCGGACTGAACATGCAATCCGTGGTATCATAACGCGAGTATAGTTCCTTAGCTTCGAATACTGGTACTTTGAACGCTCTTAAATCCCACAATTTCAGAGTGTCGTCGCAAGCTCTGCTTGCCAGCATTTGTCCGAGGTACGCGAAACTCAAGCTCGATATCTCGCTGGATTGTACGTGCGCGCCTCGCAACACGAGGGACGGATTCACAAAATTCTTCCTGTGATCCCACATCTGAATTGAGCCATCTATGCAGCCGCACGCAACAGCCGCGCCTTCCCGACTGTAGGCGCACGTCGTGGGAATAGTCTTCACGCCATTTTGGGCTCTACACTTTATCAAGTTTTTGTGCGAGCGTGGCCTATATAAATTCCATATTCGGCAGGTGCTGTCCTGAGAACAGGTCAGATATTCTTCTTTGATGAACGGATGCCAACAGCCACTATTCAAACTAGCGGTGTGGCCTTTTGTACGCGCCATGTCCGTAATGTACTGATCACCCTTGACGGTCTCGCATTTCTCAAAGCCATCCCGATCCAAAACCTTCGCCTGCGCCGCTCCTGAGATCACCAATATCACGTCCCCGGTCATGGAATACTGCAAACACTTGATGGGATGATTCTCGCAGGGCTGCAAGGTCCTGAAACTCTTCATGGATGTGTCCATACCAGCGAAATCCCAGAAAGAGACGTCGTAGTCGACGGATCCAGATGCTAATCGAGCTCCGGACGGATCCGCAGCAATAGCAATTATCGCTTTAGTGCCATGAGTCATTGAGACTTCATGCGAACAAGGAATCTTATCTCTTAATGTTACTTCTTCTTCCTCTTCAGAGTCCGATGATTCTTTATCATCATCATCGTCGTCATCGTTGTCGTTTTCATTTTCCTAAGATAAACAAATTTCTTATGTTAGCTTATATTTTTAATATTCATTGTATTTTATGAAGATTTTTTTTAAATAACAAACTTTTTCAGATTTTTATAAGTTGTCTTCAGAAATTATACAATGAAAAATCTTAGAAATCATAAAATGTTTGAAAATTCACACATACAAAAAATTCTAAAAAAGATATAGATTCTTCTTTCTTAGCAAATCTAACAAGAGATATCTATCACAACTGTCTGGAACTGATTTAATCCTCCTTGAAATATATTGTTAAAACAATGTAGTACAAAAGAAAGGCAAAGAGCCAGTAATGTATAAAAGAACTTTAATTTAAATTAATTATTAAGAAAAAAATCCATATAAACAATTACAATTAACAACAAACGTTTCGACTCCGATCAAGTCATTTTCAATGTAGTCTTAATATATCAATATCGTTCTAAACCAAAAATATGTACATGGTATTACAATACTATTATAATTTTTAATATTGTGTTTTTCATTGTGTAGAAAAAGAGCGGGGACAAAAGTAACATCGTCAATATTTCTTAAACTATAACAGATATATGTATGTGGCCGCGTGGTAAAATTCTATAAACAGATAAGCATTGAATCATTCGTTACATGCTGATTTTCGCGGAACGTGCTCGAGTGCAGAAGCACAAATTACTTTTTTCATGCATCAAGTAACTTTTATTGGATAAAATTCAAAATATTTTTTTTTTCTTTATAACAAAGGTATAATATATTATCTTAATATGTTTTAATGATTATCTGCGTTGATGTTTTTCATATTTTTGTTGATTTTTATCTAGGCTTTTATTTTAAAAATTTACTATGAATTATAAAATACCATTAGGGGACAATAGTAACATCGATGCCTGGGGTCAGTTGTAACGTTACAATTATTAATTGTCAATTCTGCCTGTGATAATTGGATGAGAAGTAATCCGGGAAAAATAATGACCATATATAATATTCCAAAAATTGTAAAAACAGCTTTGCCTCTAGCGCTTACCCAAAGTAATATTCACGTAGGATTTAATTGTACTGGGATTTTTCCATTTAATAGAAATATATTTAGTGAGTTAGATTTTGCGCCATCATATGTTACTGATAGAATGTCTGAATCAAATATTCTACATTCTTCTGTAAGTTCACAATCTACAAATAATGATACTGAACCTCAAATCATCATTCATCGGAAATGAAACTTCTCTTGAATATCAGATATCCATAAACACTGATAATGAAAGCCAAAGAGTGCCGATCACATCTAATTTTGTTGTTTCGCCTATTCTTGAAACAACCAAGACCAATACAGAATTCCAACAAGGATCAGACAACATTACTGTATTTTCTCCAGAAAATATATATAGACCATTTCCTAAAGCTCCTCCTAGAAAATCAACATGATAAAGGAAAAAAAGAAAATCAGATCATCTACACAGATACGCCAGAAAAAGAAAATATACGGATTGAGTATGACGAAAAACAAAAGAAGAGTAAAAAAATTTACAAAGTAAACCAAAGAAGTTTAATACTATTGAAAAACAAAAAAAATAAATTTTTATACATTGTTCCTTTATATTTTAATTTTATACTTGTTAAAAGGAATGTATTTTTTCATTTTGTCCTTTTCATAAATTTTATTATCATTAAGTATAATGCAATATCTACATATAGTAAATAGGTACATGTGATAACAATAATATATAATAAATGTTCATAATTATATATACAAAGAGTTTTATTAATAAAATAACCATTATTTTATTTATAAATAGTGTGGTACAATTGTCCCTCTACTGTTACAATCGTCCCAGAGGGACGATTGTAACAAAATTCCTCATAGTCTTTAAACAAACATAACTTTTTTTTTATATTAAAAAATTGAATCAAAGAAAATTTTGTAACTAAATAAATTCTACATCTAATTCTACGATATATACTTTTTTAAATGTAAATATTATATTTTAACTGTTATAACACTTCAAAGTCAAAATGTTATTAGGTGTTGGAATTAATTCGTAGCGTTTTTAATGAAAGAATGTTATTTATTTCACATGAGCATTAAAAAATACATTAATGAAAGTACTTCCCATCACTTGTAAAACGCTACGAATTAATTCCAACACCTAATACTTTTGTCCCTGGTCTCCCTTATGCTGCAAGTCAGTTTTATCAAGAATCAAAGTAGTCATAAGAAAATTCTTGTCAGTGATATCAGTAAATGTGTAACAGATAACGAAAAAATTTTTTTTTGTTACCTGAGAAAGTTAGTTATGTTCGTTACTTTTGCAAATTTGCTTAAAATAATTTATATAATAAAAAAACTAATATATTGTATCACGAAATGAACTACCATCTACCTGCGGTTTTTTTTTTATTAATGCACTCTAACTACACGGAATGAAAAATATGATATTAAAAATTATGATAGTATTGTAATACCATGTACATATTTTTGATTTAGAATGATGTTGATATATTAAGACTACATTGAAAATGACTCGATTGGAATCGAAACATTTGTTGTTAATTGTAATTGTTTATATGAATTTTTAATGCTAATTTAAATTAAAGTTCTTTTATATATTACTGACTCTTTGCCTTCTTTTTGTATTACATTGTTTTATACATACAGAACCTTATTAATATTTATTAATATTGTTAAAATATATTTTTCTTAGATTTTCATGTTCAACAATATACAGGGTTGGCCATATTCGACGGAAAGATGTTTTTTTTTTCAATCATGGGAAACGTCGTTACTCGATCTAACATCTCTGTCAAAAGTTACAGTGTTGCCAGATCTTTCCGTCGAATATGGCCAACCCTGTATTTCAAAGAGAATTGAATTGGTTTCTTATAAGAAGTTCCAACTTATATTTAAAAAATCCAAATATTTTCTAAAAATTTATAAAATTATACAGAAATTCTGAAAAAGTCTAAAAAATTTATATAAAAATTCTGTGAAAAATAAAGATATTAAAAAAAAATCTTACTTTCTTTGCATCTTTGATTGCATCTGAAGTAACAGGTAACAAAGGTATTGGAGGTCCAATAAAATCGTCGTCATCATCGTTCATCTCATCCTTTTTGGATTCCGCAACTTCGTCGAATTTTTCTTGTTCGACCATGCTTGCTTTATTGCTGTTGATAGTCTTGGTGATATTCTCCATCATCTCCTGCACGTCGAAAGACTTGGCTTTCTTTCCGAAGCCCGTGATGCCCATCAACTTCTGCATACTTCGAGTTTCCTCTTCGTCCTCCGGTCTGATCTCGTCCATCTTCTTCACATAATTTTCTTCGCATTTCTTACCGAAAATGCCGAATCCGGAGTTAGAAGTTTCGATGAATGCCTCGGGTGTTAGTTTATCTAAATTGGCGCTTATCTTGCCGAAGGTTATGGTTTTCTTCGAATTCATATTGTTGAACGACAGCGACTGGATAATAAAATTAAATCCACGGTTTCTATTTGTATGACGTACAATGAAACTTGTATTCAACAAAAGATTTCGTCTCAATCAATAATCGTACTGAATCGTACACTCTCAATTTATCACAGTATAAATATATACGACTGTACACGAGCTTGAGCTAGACGCGTCTAGAAAATTCGCTCAGACGCTATACGATTGTGACTCGCCGACGACGCCGACTAGCGTCGAATTGTAGAAATACTCAAGTGAACACCGTCATATTCAGAATTAATGCGCGCTAAATTCAAAAACGTCAATTCAGTATCCATGTAAAAATCTGTGTTATATGTACCTGTTATTAATTCGCAATCATCGATAATAGTGATACGACCGTATGATTTTTTATCAATATTAGGTTGATTAAATAAAAAAGTTGAACAAATGTGTGAATAATTTTTTTGAAAAGCAACAAGTATTTTTTTACATCAATTTTTACGTCATTTTATTATTGAGTGCCTAAAATATTTTGCTTGTATTTTAAGAAAATATATATAACAACTAATATATTATCTTGCAGATATTAAGAAGGACTTGGACTATATTGTGCAAAATATACACACTGTATCTATTCTGAAATTATGGGACAATACAGAGAAATGATCAAGTGAGTCAGTGGAGATTGGAAAGAAAATAAAATTCAAATATACTACAAGAATAATTTTTTTATCTGCAACACTTTGAGATGTGCAAGTAAATTATCAGAAAGCATAATTGATATTTGATAACGTGGACAATGTAATTGAAAGTGCGAGAATAACGTTATGAAGAATTGACATTAATAGAATATTAGAAGATAATAGTATTTCTGAGAAAGAGAAAAAAAAACATCGAAAGAAATACAAGTTTCGTGAAAGCAATTCGAATCTGTAAAATCGAAAATGAATCAGAGTCAAATGTAGGGAGTGATACTTTTAGAACTATTAAATGCGAAAAAAAAACAGCAATACTAAAATACGTACCCAGCAAACGAGAATGGATTGAAATGAATTGAAATGGATTCACATTTTCAGAAATATTCACGAATGTTAAAATGAATGCTTTTTCCTGAATGCATTTTTATTCATTTATAGGAATTGTATGGAGCATATCTCTATGTCTTTCAATCTAAAAATAATATTAGTTTTTTTTTGTGCATACAACAAACATTATGAATACTCAATTCAAAATTTTGAATAGGAAATGCAGTTTTTCAATCCAATTGCATCCAATTGAATCTAATTGAATCCAATTGGATCCAATTAAATCCAAAAAAAGTATTCGTTATTTAAAATACGCATTACTGATGATTCTTTGAATAATTCGGAAGTCAATAATGTAGAAAATATAAAAAAGCAAGAAAATATCCAAATCGCTACTTAATAATGATATTATATAATTTTAGAATATACAGATTATGTAAAGCTGTGAAGAGAGAAAATTCCATTCTATTAGTATTATTAAAATAAAGTTAATAGAGACGAAAAAGAAGAAGAAACATGCGAAGAAATTTTTGAAAATCTATATTATTAAAAATAGAAGAAGGAAAGAGTTAATACAATACAGGAAATACCATTCTCTATATTAAATGTGAAGAAAAGCAATATACATATAAGAAGCATATTGTATCAAATGTCAATATTTCTTCAAATAATTTAGAAGAATAGCGTATCCAAAAAACAATTATTTATAGATTGCAGTATTTGCAGTTATGAGGAATTTTCTTTATTAAACATCTAACAACGATTTTGTACTTAGGAGATATTAATATCTAGACGATTTTTTCTGAATATCGATAAATCGCATATCGGAATGCGATGTATCATACTTGATAATTTTCTCATTAGTATACATTGATGTAAATAATAATAATAATCTCTTTTTTGTATATAAAAAAATTTCTCGCCTGAGAGCTCATACACTAGCAATTAATGTAGAAAACATAAAATATTAAATTTTAAAATATACACTCTCTCAGAATTAATTTGAACTTAGCTCCTGAAATACGAATTTGTTATCATGTTTCAGTCTGTTTTATTTCGAATTATATTACCCTTCGGAGATTTTTTAAATAGAAATTTTTTTTAATTGATGACTTAAATAATTTTAACTTCAACGAATCTTTAAGAATACAACAGACTTCCTTCATTTCAAAATATCGTGTATTTTGAGACTGTATTAGAAAAGAAGTTCTCGCAGCAATTAGCTCAAATTCATACACAAGAGATTTATCATCATTTATTTATACCAAATGTAAAATATCTTGTGAATATTTGTTATTTCTTTTTTAATATCGAACAATAAATTACAGCAGTATGTCATGTTATTTACATTAGTTCTTACCTTACCACATTCTACTCATGTCTCTCTTCTTAAGAAATATTACTATGATATTTTTGCATAGATTTGAAATGGCGAAATGAAATATATATAGGAATGCAAGCGATCCGCTAAATTGCAACGGATCGTATAATTCAGTTACTGATATTCTAATAAATAATGCATTTGGAAATTTATATTTGCATACATAACGAATAAACTTTGCTTGTCCCGTATATTCATCGAGTTAAAAGATTTATTTTCTTTGCATATATATATATATATGTATATATATATATATATATATACAGATATTCTTACGATTTTATTTAATTAGGTACATTTAAATGGCATATCGCGCATGCAATGCAACGCATACCTACGTATTTACACGTATAACGTCAATTTAACATTACGTAGTTATTGAGACGACGAATAATTATATGCACTCGTTGCGTAATCGGTGGATTTCAGCTCTCGCCCTATGTATACCTCTTTAAGAGGCTGGTTTTTTGAGATTCATTTTCTGAAAGTCTTCATCCTTGAAGCCGTATTGAAGGAATGATGCCCTTAAAAAAAAAAAGAAAAAATTCACACGTTATTGTCCACACTATTGTCACACCACTGTAATCTCTGAGGGCGTTCATCAATCTTCACTTATTTCTCGCTGATGTAAACGCAAATTATTTCATCACACGAAAGTGCTTTTTTGAAAAATCAACGACAAGAGATAGAGGAAGTCCAGCTTCTTCTTAAAAATATTAACTAACAGTAACACATAACGTTATAATTATATTGTACTCAACAATGTAACTGTTATGTATAACAGTGTTATAATACATTTATATTGTTGACTATAAAATTATGACATTAATGTTACATTACTGTCAGTTGATATTTATTGGTAGAGATAGCATATAAACATATATATATATATATATACATAGGACTACGAATCCACGATATCAATGAAGAACGATAGTTAATTGATTGCGATGTAGAAGTTTTGTTTGGAAGCTATAGTTCGCTTAACTTAATGAAATCCTATCTTAAGAGCACCATTTCAGCACCAAGTCTCATTCATTCGTTCCAAGCGCGTTTTGTTCAACCAGGAGACATTTCTCCGCATTCTAAAATTGCAGACTAAAGTGCACATGCATTATGGCAACGGCCATGGCAATCCGGAAAAATCCACTGGACCGCCCAGACCTGCATCCGCTTCCAGCAGGCTCATGATGACAGCCATTGCTGCCTCGTCGTTGCCATCGGACGGGATCGGATTTGGTGATTCATTAATCGTGGTGCCGCCAATCATGTCCATCATGTCGTCATCTGGTGACGCTCCTGAAAGTAGGTGGATGTTACATTGTGCGTGATATCGCTAATATTGACACGCGATTAAACTATATCGGCAAACAGAATCAACGCTATACTCTGCATAGTATCAATTCGCCTTCAATAATCTCTCTCGCACGAAGGGAAATCTTATATAAGTCAAATTGTTCTCACACGCGCGCTAACGAAACTCTTTTCCTCGTGAGAGAGAGAGAGGTTTGCTCTCTACTTCTTTTTCTCTCTGAATAATTTTGGCGAACACACTACACACCAAGAAATGACTCCTTAGAGACAGTAATAGCTATGACCTTGGTCATTCGCGATGCTGTTGAGCTGCACGTTGTTCGCTACGTGGTTGAACGTCGACGTGGGATTACTGCTGCTATTGTCGCTGCCGATGCCACTTGGCTGGGAAATGTCAGGTATTCTCTCTGGCGATGCCGTCGTCGTGACCATTTGCGACTTTAATCAAAGACAAATAATTAAAAACCAATTAGTTAGTCCAAGTCAAATTCAGACAATTAGTAATCAGTTTTAAATTCATTATATTAGGTGTTGGAATTAATTCGTAGCGTTTTACAAGTGATGGGAAGTACTTTCATTAATGTATTTTTTAATGCTCATGTGAAATAAATAACATTCTTTCATTAAAAACGCTACGAATTAATTCCAACACCTAATACTTTAAACGAAGGAAGACCATATAAATGTGTGTGAGAGAGAGAGAGAGAGAGAGAGAGAGAGAGAGAGAGAGAGAGAGAGAGCGAGAGAGAGAGAGAGAGAGAGAGAGAGGGAGAGAGAGAGAGAGCAAAGGGAAAAGATAATTTATCAATATAAAACAGGTTTATATTAATAAATTACTCGTTTGCTTGTTTTTTTCCTTCGTTTTCTCGTTATCGAATTCAAATATATTTACCTCGGTGTTCAATAAACCAGTTTCTGTCGCTGGGCCAGGACTACTACCCGAGGAGGAGTCTTCTCCACGTCTTTGTAGATCCAGTACCTCTTCCGCTATTTGCCGGCCGATCTTACTTACTTCCACGTGACTCGAGATCAATCTTTCTAATCCACCGTTACCTGCTTACCACAAATTAAGCACGATCCTTAATTAATCGCTTTCACAAATCGCGATTGTCGTATAAACGCGCGCTTCAAATCGTACTTACTTTGTGTGAAATAATCATAGTTGCCTTGCACGCTCGAGTCCTCAGATCTGTTATTTCCACCTGGACGTGTATCGCAGCTGAAAAAAAAGATACACAATTCTTTCTATGGTAACATCGCGAACGACGCGTAGAATGTCGATCGTTGCTTACAAGATAGCGGAATTCTTAGCGATTAGATACTCGATGTCTTTAGTCCATGGATTCCTGAAGGATTTCCACTCGGACTGCAACCGTACAAAGTTCGCGTCCTTGCTTCTGAACCTGTAGATCTGTGAAAGCGATAACATATGAGATCAAAACGCGAAATCGTTATCGCGAGCAATAAAGATCTCTCTTTGCGTTAATCGCCAATCAAATCGATTTACGTTCTCGACAATGAGGGATTTTGCATATCGTACGGGTATTAACAATTCTAATACTTTACAATTTATTTTAATCCAATTATCACGAAGAACAATTGCGAAGTGATAACAGTGAACAACAGTTAATTACCTGCGTGGTAACGTGTTCGGAAGTTTGCAACACAGCTTTGTGAGATTCTGCCAGATGAGGAATGTCGTCGTGGTGATAGTATTCGTACATACTGGTGCCTAGCAGTTCCTGAGGTAGAAAGCCCAATACTGGAGTAGCTCTATATGAGGAAAAAGATAATTCTCTAATATATACAAGACGTCCATATATTATTTGTCGATATTCCAAAATTTATGCGTATCTTTTTTTATAAGGCATATTTTTTAATTATAAATTTTTTAATTTTAAATAAGGCTGAATAATAAATAATTAATAAATTGATCGCTTTTAATTATAATTTTAGCAACTATCTGCTTTTAGAGATAATAATATAAGCAAAAATAAATAACAATATATGTAAATAAAGAAAAATGTGAAACATGTTTGTTACTGTATATTTTGAAGAAGAGAGCCAAGAATAGCAAATTTTCTCTTTTCAATTTATTATATTTAGATTACATATAATATATTTCTATTATAATATATATCGCAATTACTACAAATATTTCGCTAACGTCTTCTATCTATCTTTTGATAATGCTAATTGTTTTTAACGATCCAATAACAATCTCGATATACCTTTGGTCCACGAACAGAAATTTGCCATCCATTGCGTGTCGCGAGACGAATTGTATGGGTCTCGAATGGGGCTTCCTCGACGGCAACGCGGCCGTCGATATCGCCGTTTGGATTCGACCGACCGCTACCAAGCAAGATAAATTGCACGCTTCGCCGTCGGTCTCGCCTTCCTGTTCCTCGAGACCGATTTTTGCGGGAGCCCAGGACTTCAGATAGCCCGTGCACTGAATCACGCAATACTTCCAATCTAAAAAAGACGCGTCTCTGTGCAGACTCGCCGATTGAGATTGAATTCGCAAACTTTATAAATGATACAAATTACACCACCGTTTATACAAATTCAGGAACACTTGTGATTTTCTCGCATCACAAAAAGTTAAAAAAAGTTCTAAGATTAAAAAAAATTAATTTACAGCTATATATCTTCTTTTTAAAATATATTTTTGAAAATTTCTCTACAATTTTTTTTCACTGAAATACTTACATAATCTTTCGAAATGCGAGAAAAATGCAAGCAATCTCGAATTTATAAATCATGTATATGATTACATTTTATAGGTATATTGTTATATTTTACACGTATAGAAAATGAAGAGACGATGGAACGAATAAGACGAAATTGTAGAGAACGAATAAGGGGAAAGTATCGGGATCTTTACGATTGCCGGTGAGATATTTGATGAGGATATATCAGCGATCCTTTCACCGGCGTTTTGCTGCGACTGTATACGGTTTCTACTTTTCACCTTTGACGAGCCATGCGACAAATTTTCGTGCCATGTCTCCGATCGTGCGTGTGACTCTCCAAAAGACGCGTTTGCATCCCCGATATAAACACCCTGAATCGTCACGGTCATATTTTTTCGCACTGCAAGGAGCTTTGCTTCTTGAAAGAAAATTGAATCCGTCATTGGACAAAAGGACACGACTTAGAATTATTTTTTTTTTTTTAGAAAAAAGTATTGTATTCATTTTAAAAAAATACGTGATGATGACGATATTCGGATACATTTGTGTTATTATTTTTGTGAAAAGAAATAAAATGATTTTATTGAAAGATTTAAAATTTTGTTAGATACAGATCAGAAAAATAATTTTTATTGAATCATAAAATAATTATTAAGAGAAACAATTCTATTTTCGAGGTCAAAGCAGATCTTATAAAATTAATTCTTACTAATACTAACATACAAATTTTGGTAAATATATTTTCTCAGTTTTATAAACTGTGCAAAATAATTGTATTAACAAAACAATTATAATGCAAATTAAAAAACGATAAGTAAAATACAAAACATTTTAATTTTATTCTTACAACTAGTTTGAATTTCCATAAAATTATTTTGATATGGTAACAAATTTACTTTCAGATCTGCATTCAATAAAATTTTAGATCTTTTAGTAAAATTGTTTTTTCTGTATATTCAATAATCAACAAGCTCTTCCTCTAGTTAAGAAAAAAACATTTGTGATGCCTCAATAAATTTATTTATACGTGCTCTTTTCACGTATGATGATCAATTCGAGTTACCGATTTTTCCGCATTGCCGAATGAATTATGATTTTTGGGTAATTAATCGCACTCACCTACGTTTTGTTGCTTCTTTCTCCTATGGCAGCCAGCGGTGGCATCGGCTTCCTCCTTCACTTGCATCTCACCACAACGGACCCCGTCGACTTTACGCTTCATCCGACAGAAGAAGGATCTCCGGGCTCCGGGGCAAAGTCGTGACACACCCTGGGGCACGTCGGTTTTCACCGGTAGCATGGCTGAAAAATTACGAAAATTAGCAACGGTCCATCAACGGACGATTAATAATTCTATTCATACCAGAAAGAATGGTTTTACTAAAGTATCTGAAAATTTAGCTAGATACAGACCCGAAAATAATTTTGTTAGACCATCAAAAATGTAGAATGCTTAAAAATTGATAATGCAGTCAAAAGTTTTACCTTTTAAACACAAAAGGTGTAGTAAGCTTTAAGACATTGATCAATCATAGTTGAATGTGAGAAGAATGATCGATTATGATTGGTCAATTTCTTAAGGTTTACTACTTCTATTGTGTTTGTGGGATTAATATTTTAGCAATCAATGAATGTTCTATATATAATTATTTTGATGGTCCAAACAAAATTATTTTCAAATCTATATCTACTAAACTTTTAAATAATTTAATAAAACTATTCTTTTCGTCTATATCCTTGCATTCTATCTCTTTCTTTCTTCCCTTTTTTATTTCTACCTGATTTCTCTCTTTTATATTTTTATTTCTCACGTCTCTCTCATATCTCTATCGCGAAAAGCATTCATTATATGATATTAATGTCACATTTACTAGCATCTTAAATATGTACTTTGACGATCCAAACGATTTACATGCAGATCGCATCGCGATGCAACATTCGAGGAATCCTGGCATTAGACTCGTTCGGCAACTCTTCATCTCCTTTCTTCATTCGGCGTGGATCTTTCGCAATATTCTTATCTGATAGGTACGCTAATTCTAAGATGTTTATCGACAAAGCTTACGCGAGCAAATGCTGCCGAGCGACTGACATTTATCGGGTAAAGGTGGTGGAAGAGATGCGCACGGCAACTAATTTGCGTTCGCAATGATCGACGCGTCGAACATGAGGCAACGTCGAAAGGTGCTATAATTAATAGCTTTGAAGGCGGAAAGCCTTTTCTCATGACCGGAGAAATTAATGCCCCGCACGCGGCTGGGTCGATGCTCGCCAAGTCGAAATCTAGAGTGCGTTTCGTTTCGTATAAATATAAATAATATAATGCGCATGATGTATCATTTTATCCTTCTTGTTCATATTAAAGAAGAATAAAATGATACATCATGTGCATCATACGTGAAACGGAACGCACTCTGGAAATGCAGCAGTACTGTGGAAAAGCAATACTTGCGTTTAATACTAGCATCAGCATAGTTCATAATACAGCAACAGCTGATACTCACTTTTTGCATCGATCAGTCGTTCCCTCATCTATTCCTTTACCTTCGCAACATCCTTAGGATGTAGGATATCGAACCAGCTTTGACCCAACAAGTCACCCTGTGATGACATTAAAATCCTTAAAGTTTGTAATTCAGTAAAAATTCAAAACGATACAAGTTGACTATAATTATAATGTGTATAGATAGTAATCATATATTATTAGCGGATTTATAAAACTGGGATATCCTAAACACTGAGAAGATAATGAAGAATTAGTAACATTAGAACTTTAAACGCTTGCTTTATGTTGTTTAATATCTATTTTTAATTCATAATATACTGATTTCTGAAGGGAGTGCTCTTTTTTGAGACAATTAAACGTCTCATTTTAAATGCTTGCATGGTTTCTATGGCCATTGTATTATTTCGAGACAGAATCTAATAGCAAATTCGGTTAGGACACATTAATGCATGCTGATATATATTAAAGTATCGTAAAAATCGATCGTAAAAAACGTCTGTTTAATATAAATATATAATAATAATAACTTTATTGAAGTTCAATTTAAATAAAAAGAAAATATAAGAAATATATAACGTATAACAATTTTAATATGCACCAGTAATGCATCAAATCAAATTCGCTATATAAGAAAAGTCTTCAAAATATTGCATCAAACTATATCTTATTAATATAAACTATCTTACATGAGCTTGTTGTTCATAATAGCATTATATTAATAAGCATCAGTGCGTATTAGTGCATCTAGTTGAATTGAATAATTTGTTAAATTATTATATCTAAATCGTGGCAGAAATGCTAAAATGACGAAAAATTGATAAATTCACAAATTATCAATCTTGACATGGTAATAATAGCGATAATAATGATCACTGCCAATCAAACATAAACTGCATAAATACGCATTTCAAAATATAATTTATAGCCAATGAGATGAATACGCAGCAGACGTTACTTAGACAGAGGCTAATGGTAGCACGGACATTACGATTAATTAGCCATTGAACGGAGATTCTTATGCGTGATGCTGTACACTCGCTTTCGCGATATTCCTCGTACTGATAGATCTCGGATTTGTATAATGCAAATTTGGAGAGTAGATATAGCGACATAGTTCGATACCTGAGAATAATTAAGAGTCTGCGAGACGGACTCGGATACGTAGAGAATTCTCCCGCGATCGCAGCCCACCACAAAGACGAAGCCCTCTGCAGCCTGGAACAAGGCAAGTTGCTTTTCATTACGTTGTGGAGAACAAATCGTTAATTACAATCGAAGAAGTCACACTTCTTTGAATCTTGATTTTTAAAGAATAAAGGGATAAGGAAGGAAAATAAATGGGGAATAGGAAAGGATAGAGACCCATCTATTATATAACAGGCTCTGATCACAAATAATTTTTATAAAACAAGAGTGAGAAAGAAGAATATATAGATATACTGTCTCTTTTTATATATATGTTATTCTCATTCTTATTGTTAGTAAAGTTACAATAATTCTTAGTTAAGTTAGTCAAGTTAACCTGTTGTTAGAGTAATTAACAGTGTTATTGTGAATTAAAATTCTTTTCAATTAAAATAATGCTGTTGATATAACATCATTTTTTTAGTGCACATAAATGCTGTCAAATAATAAATTATAGAATCAGTAATACAATCAATAATATATGTATATATAATTAATAATAATAATTTTCAATAAAATATTAAACTCACTCTAAACAATTGTTTATAAAAAAATTGTCTATATACTAACTGAAGAAATTATTTCCGGATGAAGAAGCGCAGCAGCCTCGCTCGTTAAGCGAATGTAACGTCGACAAGAACGCATTTTGCATTAAAAATCTGGAGACATAGTAGTGTCTTAGCACTAAGACATGGCGTGAGACATTAAAGATTACATTACACGCAATCATTTTTTGCAAGCTATGATATTTGAGCGATTTACCGATCATATAGGAAATTTCGATGGAGTAAGCTGGATCAACTTCCCGTTTTTCGCACGTGTATTCAGTCACACGAAATCGCCCATGACATTTCACTCGCAATTTTGCTGAGTCGCAAACAATCGCTACAATATTCGCACGAGCGTATCATTTATCGTTGCACTAGTTAAACGCTAACGTCCGCGTTACGTAATTGTTTGCGAGGTTCGACGTATCGTCGATCGCATGTAACGTTCATTAATTAATCATGTCAATGCGATTCAACGCAATTCGCTCGACCCAACAAAGGCATGCCCGAGTTTCTTGTGCTTTGTTACCTACGTTTCTCTCGTAAAGTTCGGATAAGTCAAGATAGAAATATCGAAATTCCGAACGGCTTTTATCGTGCATGACGCGAAAATATGTACACATACACAAAGAATAGTTTTGAAGTATTTAAAAATTTAGCTAGATACAAATTTGGAAATAATTTTATTAAACCATCAAAATAATTACGTAGAAAGCTTAAACAATGTTGCAAAAAGTTTTGACATTCTAACAATCAGTTTGAGTATCGTACACTAAATTCATGTCAAATTATTACCCAATTTGAATTAGTTCTAATCATTTCTATATTTAGTTTTTAACTAAAACAATAAAGTTAAATAATTTAACTCAAAGAAATGTATTAAATTTGTTTGAAATTTAATTTGTTATTTACTAAGTGCGTAAGTAAAAAGTAAAAACAAAGAAATAGTGTCTATATTAATGGACATTGTTTATTTTGAAACTAACTATAGAAATGGATGAATTTATATTTTGATATATATGAAAATTAAAAATCGGATTGTATTCTTTTGATATCTAATACAGTGTATAACATAATTACTTTCAAGATTCAAACAAAATTATCAAAATTTCAAATCTGTACCTAAAATTTTAAATACTTCAGCAAAATATTATAATTTTTCCCGTCGAATACTTTCGGTGTGAAACGGACGCTATAAACGTGTACATACATATGTTTTATCACTGTATATGGCAAGTTTTACGCGGATTAGTGCGCGCCGCGACATTTGTATCGATTTTTGCCTCGTTTAATCGGCAGGTGATTTAATGTTATTCCCAACTGTAACACGCTCAGCCGGATCTCGATGGTAATAAACGTACCGATTCGCAATGGGGAGCTCTTTACGTCGCGATTAGAGCACGTTTAGAGCCGATCTGATCTCGGTATGTGTCGGGCGTGGTCATTCACTCTCAGATATTTTCCTATACGGCGAACGAGCGTGAACGAGTGAGAAAGAAAAGAACTCCCCTCGATAGAAGATAAACGTGTATACGTACACATGACAATGAGAAATATCTGGATCAGGCACCAGCTCTGGGCTCCGCGCGTTTAAACGGAATCTAGGGTGAATAGGAGTTATCGGTCGTTGAAGTATTCCTTTTCCTTGTTTTCCGCGGACGTGGCAAAGTGTACGCTTCATAACCGATACGTTTCTATCGTCGAATAATTATACGCCGCTTTTCATGCACCTGAATAACCGTCACTACATTGGCACGCGGTGAATTTTAATCCTCAGAAAAATTGTTTTTGTAATAATAACATGTGTAACGTTTGCTATGTAGAATTAGAGCATTATAGATATGTACTATTATCGCAAAAGATTTTTTTTTTTGAACGCGAGGAGAGATTCAGGGAAGTAATAATCCAATAATAATATGTATATGATGTTTGCTACAACGTAGGATTAGAGCAGATATTATGTGGAAGGAACGATTTTGCTGAGATATCTAAAAGTTTAAGCAGATACAGTAATAGTAGATCTGAAAATAATTTTGTTGGATCATCAAAATAATTATGTAGAAAAACTTGAGCATAATAAGCAATGCTGCAAAAAGTTTCACATTCTAGTAACCAACCAGTTTAAGTTACATTATTATTTCGATAGCTCAACAAAATTTATTTTCAGATCTGTATCTAGATAAATTTTCAAATACTTCAGCACCATTCTATTCGTGTATTTAAATATGCGTTATCATAACAAGTTTTTTTTTAATGCAAAGAAAGATTCGGGCAAGTATAACAATACGTTTACACATCAAGTAAAGCCAAATAAACATAAATAAATGCGTACAAGCTGTAGAAGCGTTTACGAATTACAGAAGAAAATCTTTCTATTCTCTGCACTTAAATTAAATTCATAATATCAAATTAAACTCTTTAAAATTTTTAAAGTAAATTTTACTCTGAAGAGTGAAATCTCATTCTTAAAGACTGAAAATTGGACCACTCTTTTTTAAGACTGGTTCAATTTTCTTTAAAATAAGATACCACTCCAAAGAATTTAGAAAGAATCAAAGAAATGGATTGATTTACATTTTGTCATACATGAAAATTAAAAAAGGCAAAATATTAATTAATTCAAGAGATTGCATTACCATTACTCCTTTGATATCTAACAGTATTCTACCTGGAACCTCATTCCCACTAATTGGTCCGGAATTAAAGGCGTAGGTGATTTGAGAGCGCTTCGACCTAAGGTACTATTAGCGTGATACTATAAATCTACATGCTTTACTTTTCCTTTCGCCCCGCCGTGCCGCGCTGCGGCACGAGACCAAGCCGGATAAAAGTCTGTAGCATGCGGGAGAAAGGGAGTTATCCGCTGATTTCGCTTCGCTCGATCTCGTGCAAAAAGATTACAAAAGATACCAGCTCGGTCTCTTACAAGCCGCGGCAAAAATACGTATCATAAATGAATTTCACGTTAACGATACCAAGCATTGTGGTTTCAGTGAATTATTCGATCCCACGATCGTGTTTAACACGCGTAACCGTGGCGTTTATTCAGAAGTATCACTTCTAAAACTAAGCGAAACGCGAATGACGATGCAATGAAACAAGCAAACAATATATTAATTTGTTATAAAAAAAAAAAAACAAAATTCTTTTTATAGGATAATGCAAATAAAGTAAAAGTATCTGTAACCTTTCGTAATTATTCGTAGTACAGAATAGGAGAAAGATAAGGCTTGATTATTATCCGTAACCGAGAAATTAAATTTAGAATATAATCTTTTACAATCATTTGTATGTACACTGTTAAAATTATAATGTCAAATTATATCCAATTTGAGTTATTTTTAATAATTTCTACAGGTCGCTATTGCTCCTACTCAGTATGTCATTAAGTTTTAATCCAAAACAGTAAAATTAAATACTTTAACTCCAGTAAATGTATTAAATTTTATTCAAAAGTTTAGTTCATTATTTAATAAGTGCATACTTTAATATGGATTATTTTGGAACTAATTCCAGAAATGAATTGATTTACATTTTGACACACATGGAGGTTTAACAAAATGTTATTTAACTCAAGGGATTGGGTACTATTGCTCCTTTAATATCTAATGGTGTAGATATTACGCAACTACCGTTTGAGTTCGACTTACTTGAAGTATGAGCGTCTTGAGTTCCTGATCGCTGAGAAATGCAGGCTTATAATGACCTTCCGTGTATGAGGTAACCGCGCCGAAGATAGTCTTGAGGTGCTGCACTGCCATTCGCAGCACGGTCAGCTTGTCCAGCTTCCGTGACATCGCATGACACATCGGTACCATCGCCGATAGCTCAGTGATATATGTATTCATCTTGTCCCTTCTGCGCTTCTCGATTTCACTATGATTCTGCCTGAAAGTATAGAAACATTGATCCTGTCAGTTCGCCAAATTTTAATAACAAAGATAAAAATGTGATATTTTTACATTGAATAAAAACAAAAGGTCTTGCTGTATTAATTGAAATCCTAGTAGATTCAACTGGAAAAGTACAAATTAAGCACTTATAATGAAATTTATTCTAGTCGAGATAATAACAGAATTCTGATTGATATTATCGGAATCTTCTGGTTTGTTTATTTTCAACTAAAAATTTTTCTCAGTACAGTGTATTATATATATATATTATATTATAGTTAGTGTATTATATATGTATATTATATATGTATTATTTGATACCAACAGGTATCCAAATAAAGACAACTTGTAAAATTAAAGTTCCGGAGATTTCATAAAATTACGATATAATATTTATGATCTAGTTCACATCTCTAGTTATGGTTGTGTATAAGAAACATGTAGCTGATATTGTATCTATATTTTATCGCAAATCAACGACCAGTGTTGAAATTAAAAATGATCTTAAAATAAATCGTCTATAACCATATGGTCCAACCTAACAATTTTAATTGCATAAAATAGAGAATTCAAATCAGACATTTCATTAATGCATTTTTCGATAACATAAACACAAATTATACAGGCTGTTATAAAAATTTTACATTTTTACATTTTTCTGAAAGACAGATCGAGTAACATATCCCGACATCTCAAATTATTATTTTTTCTCATATTTCACACATATTTTTTTTCTTTTTTAAGTAAGGAATTAAATGTCCACGTGGATGCTTGTTGCGTTAATCGCGTGAACGGAATCCCATTCCACCGTCCGTTTCATGTAAACAAGAAACGGAAACAAAGATTGGAATGTGCAGAGTTACAGAACGATGTAGTATGGCTGTTGTAAGGTACTCTACTGACCACAGCAGTTTTTCTACGAAGGTTTCATCCACGTGGACCGGGGCCACGCGCGTTGGTCTTTAACCTTCTGGAATTGACGGTGGATTTATTTAATTCACTCAATTATGATATATTCTTCAATTATATTCTTTCAATTATATTAGGTGTTGGAATTAATTCGTAGCGTTTTACAAGTGATAGGAAGTACTTTCATTAATGTATTTTTTAATGCTCATATGAAATAAATAACATTCTTTCATTAAAAAACGCTACGAATTAATTCCAACACCTAATATATTTTCAATTATATTCTTTATGTTACATTTGTAAATTTAAATTATTGTTATTAAAATAAACTTAGTATTTATTCTTATTTACATAAGTTGCGTCATTTTGGTTCCTTGATAACGATTAGTGCCTTTTAATCAACATAAATTACGTGGATCTCAATGGAGATCAGTAATTGTGTTGCAGATTTTAATGTCAACTCCGGAGAGTTAAAGCTGACTTCTCCAGAAAGCTCAACATATTCGTGCAGTCGCGTGAATTATCAACGAGATCGGCGACCGACGAGGCCGCGTGTCAATTACGCGATATAAGAGAAAAAGGGCGATTCGACTCATAAAACGATGTCTTTTCAGAATGCATGCTGATTTGTCTCTCAAGAATTTGCATTCATATCACGCTCGGGGGGAGATAAATTGCACGGCGGAAATCGTTGCGGCGGAGAAAACTGGTCTCGACTCTATGCCGGACTCGGACTATTATATCGCATAATTATGTCTCGATTCAAGTGGACATATCGTAATAGTTATCGTAATATCCGTTAGACTTTTATATCTGGCCTCAGTGAGTTTATAGAATGCATGTTAAACAAGTACCTTCATGAAAAAAACAATTTTATGAAGTAGCTACAACAATTTCTCTAGATACAGATCTGTGTGAAAATAATTTTATTAAATCATTAAAATAACATATTCTGAAAAAAAAGGTTCTGATGTACAAACAAGAATTACAGACAAAATGAATTCTGATCGCGTGAATCAAAATTCTGAATTATATCGTAATTGAATGTCTGGTAATCTCGACTAGACTATTTGATAGATTTAATTATAATTGTACTCTCTCTGATTGATCTACCTGAATTCCAATTAACAAGAGTTAAAATTTTTTAATAGGAATCAGTAGAATCAGTATAGGAATCTCAAATATGATGAACAATGCTATAAAAAGTTTTGACATTATAGCAATCATTTAAGCGTCTTGCCTAATTATTTTGATGATTCAACGAAATTATTTTCAGATTTATATTTAGATCTAAATTTTTAATATTTCAGCAAAACAGTTTTTTCCGTGTTGGAGTTTTCATCAGATGTCAATCTATATGTTATACATATACATATACATATACTCATTTGCTATAACAACACAATTCAAAAGACCAAAGTCTTCCAAAAAATATATTTGAATGTTAAATTTTGAATTATTAGTATTTTGTAATATTAATTTTATTTCATAATAGTTTTATATCATAATATGTATATATAAAAAAATACAAAGAAAAAAGAAAAAATTCTTTAAAAAAAACATGCTTTTATTTTTCTACCAAAATTAACCAGTTATTATTAAAATTATATTATAAAAGTGTGTTTTTTTAAAGAATGTTTTTTTTTCCTTTTTTTCTTTGTATTCTTTTTTACAAACAACTAAAGAATGACAATTTTTCAGTTACGTTATTGTTGCAACAAATAAACGATATAATGCAATATTTATTTTATATATATATATAAAATGATATAACTTGTATTATATAAATCATATGAACATTTTATTTCTAAAGATGAGAGACGTTTAGACAAGATATTCGAAGGTTTAGAGTATCCCTTAGGGCATTATGAGATTTTTTGGAATATTAATATTCTTTTGAATGTTTGCAAATTCTTCGATTTAGAAATTATTCAATTGTTAATGCGTATTAGACGAGCAATAAAAGCGTGACGCTTCGCGGTCGAACGACAGCTTCGCATCGGACAGTGGCTGATAATACATGATGATCGGATTTAGTGACGTCGCTGATGAAGCCGGAGTAAAGAATCAAGGTAGGTCAAGGTAGTACTCACCTTGGCAACATCTGACATAATACTACATAATCACCGTAATCGACGATTGCGTTACAAGTTCAAATGCATCACGTGCTCGGAAATCCCGATCTTTCCAAACAATACATTTTTTTTCTTATACTTTATAATGTACTTACTTCTTACTGTCGTCGTTTGTGCGAACTGATTTGGCGTCGTCTCCCAAGTCGTCCAAGAGATCGCTTCCAATGCTGAAATAGACAACAGTGGAGCATTTCTTCAAAGAGATGGTTAGCAAGTTTAGAGATGTTAAGCATGATAATAAAAAAATCAATACATAAATAGGTAATTAAATTAATATTACAAAAAAATTATTTTTTAATATTATTATTTTTTATATTAATCTTTCATTATTTACATGAGGGGCGAATCCAGGATTCCTCAGCCTTGTAAATTCGCTAAATATATGAATGATGTATTTATACACATTATTGTATTTAGCACAAATTTCCAGCAAAATAAGCTGACGTTATTTGTCGTCATGTTGACAACAAATAACGTCAGCTTGTTTACTGGATTGTTTCACAATAAAAAAAATTTTTTTCGCATTGATCTTTATTTAAAGGATGTCTAAAATATTATCAATCTTTATTTAATTAAAAATCAAAGAGACTAATAAAAATTGAAATACAATACAATATTAAAAGTGTCAGATACCTCATGCGAGTAATGATCGATTAACTGAAGAATTTTTAATGAAACCGTTCTCTCTTCTAAGATACAATTTTGCGCCGATTAAACGCGCAATGTGGTAATCTAAGTACGTAATTGATGAAGTCCTTTCGTGGCGACTAAATTCGGTCGAAACATCACAGGAAACAATTTCTTCAGCATATTACGACCTTCGTAAAGGGTGTTACCCCTTTGACGGTAAATTTCACCAAGTTTCGCCCGCGTAGAGCTTCCTCTCCCCCGTCCTTTGTGTCTCGAGCTCGAAAAGTCGCACGTGGGTTTCCCTCGCGAGGAAATATTTATCGATACGATTCCTTCGTCGTGAAAGACTCACCTCGGAAACGAGACGAGCGTAAATATTTACCACAATAAAAATGCGCGTATGCATTTCAATTTTACTTAAGACCATCAACGATCAGGTTCTCAGATATGAGTATTATCATTGTATAATAATTCCATATATTCATAGATTTATATTGCAGAAATTGTTAACGTTACGAATCACATGTGTTACGTCAGGCTTAATTCCAAATGAGGCAAAAAATTAGTTCAGCGGATCTTGACACAAAGGAGATGCAAATTCATAATGTCAAATTCAAAATTAGGAAAGTTACTAAATAAGAAAGTAAATGACGACTCAAATTAGGTTAAATTTGACACTACAGATTTAACAATGCAAACGTATGCAATGTCCAATTTCTTATTTAAGGATATCCAGCATCAGCTGCGTGTATCTTTCGCAAACATCCCTTGCGAAGTAAGCGATAAAGGTAATTGTCGAGGGCAATTTCGGGATCTCTAGAGAGAGGTAGGCAAATCTTCCGTTTCGTCGATGATTAAGTTAACCCTTTGACCGCGTATCCGACACCTTGATTGGGTAATTACTTGGAACCGGGCGCGAAATATCTCGAAATATCGGCATCGATGAGTATCGAGAACTCGGATGAGGGGAATGGCGACAGGACCGGGGAAGTGAGTCGCTAGTTATCGCGAGTTGTTTGCCGCAGCTCGCGAGACTCCAGACTCTTGGCAGGGCACATTTGGCGGGCTTCGTTTCGCGCTTCATGCTAATGTGTAATATTCCGTGATACGACTTCCACCTACATGCCACACGAAGCTTTGTGCTCCGAGACGGTTGCTACCATGGCCGATTCTTAAGTGCCGTATTCGACTGCGAGCACTCGGCGACAGACAAAAGAACGTTGCTCCACGTAGTGTGAGATCTCGTACAAAAATTTCCGAGAAGAGAATCTCATTTCTAGCGCTTCTCCTTATTCGTTCATTTAAGATGCGCTAAAACATTCACAGTCGATTTTTGCTTTCTTTCTAGTTCTATCTTCATGAACGTTAAATTGATGATACCTTCTAAGAGTTCTGGAGATACATATTTAAGTTAAATAAGTTATAAAAGAAAAATCTTTTTCTTTCACAAGCCAAGAAAGGGACTTGGTACACACTTTTTTCATAATTCATCTGTCCTGCTGGCTATTTTTAAATCTAATTCCTAACGTATCAATATCGATGTACATATAATATTTTCTCGGTACTTTCCTACCTAATCTCTCTCTATGTACAATAAATCTATACATTTTATACCTCTCCTTTTTTATTTTCACTCTACTTATTCCATTCTTATCCTTTAGTTACTTCCTTCCTGTTGTCGTTACTTGATTAAACTCTGACCTACTTCCTCCCCATTTCTTTTAGATTTTTTTCCTAAGAAATCCGAATCCTCTTCCTTTTACTTCTATCAATTTCTAATTTTATGTACATCTATACCTCACGAATAAAATTTTATAAGTAAAAATTAATAGAAGTTAATAGAAATAGAGGAAAGAGAATTCGGATTTCAAAAGAAAGAAAATATAAAAAAAATAGGGAGAAAATAATAAAGTTTAGCAAAATCGAGTTGACGACAATATAGAAGAAGCGTATACATATATAATTAGGTAGGGTAAGAATAGAATGTAGTACTTTTTAATGTAAATGCTGTATTGTTAATTTATATCAATAATATATCACATTGTTGGTTATCAGCGAACCTTGGTGGAGTGGTATTTAACGAATCATCGCAAGTTCAGTTAGCATTATCTGGTTTGAGAGGAACTGGTGAAATCAACCGTTAATCCCTTAGAGACATGAACCCTCGAGGTTCTTAGGCAAATTACGGGTTAAACTTACTGGCAAGAAAGCTTCCGTTTTCTGGAAACCGGTGCGAACTCGTCCGAGGTGTCGGTCGCCGGTCCATGGCTAGGCGTGATGGATGACGTACTACGATGATGTCGATGATGATGATGATGATGATGGTGATGGTGGTGATATTGATGGCCGGAGGCGGGTGCCTGCTGGTCGGGGACCATCGTCGGGGGTGTCTCCATGTGCCGGGGCGGCTTAGCCCCCGTCGCCATCTGCGGGGTGGCGGGGGCTGGTTGGAGTCGGGGCGAGACCTTCGCCACCACCCCCCGCCGAGGCGGTGGTTAGCTCTCCCACCCCGGTACCCGTGCCTATCTCGCCAAAATAAACCGTGGAGCACGAACTTCTGCAAGTGAATTTTAATTAAGCACCGAAGTCAAACGGCATTCTAACAATAAAAAAATAATCTTAGAAATCATGATTGCAAAAAATAGATTGTAATACACTTAAAAAATATAGCAATTGTAAAAAAGTGACTATCAAATTTCATATTATGATATTATATGAATTCACACATATATATTTTATATATAAATAGTTAAATAAATTATTTTATCGTTATAGCAACTATGAAATAAGTATGAAATTTATGCACATATAAATACCTATGTGTATTAATTCTATATATAAAACTTGTATAGTTATCATCTTTATAGTTGCTATGTTTTTCTCTGAGTAGGTGTAGTATGATTGTAGTATGCTTAAATAAATCAAAATGAAGTTGCTACATGCATTAAATCATGTAATACATGACATTAATACGTAACACGTCGTGAAGTTTCTCCGCTGTTTCAAAAAGTCGTATATAAAGAAAATCGTAAATAAGGAAAGTTCTTTATATAAAAATATATATAAAAGTATTTAAAAATTATGCAGAATATATACGCAATTATTGTCAAAGGAATTATGCAGGGAAAAACATTAATTACTTCTACATCACTATTAAAAGTATCTAATCATTATCTTCGCAATAACAAGCCATTTAGGTATCAAGATTTATATATTTTCAAGACCCGAGGGAATAGGGAAAGTTGTGATCACATGAAAGTGCATAACATTTTTGTATGTAAGTACGCTAATCATATGCGGGGCGTGTAATAATGTATAGTTAGTTGGTTAGACACCAACGTCACATCCGGGAGCATTGAACTATCGTCATCGACCTTATGATCTATAAGTTCTTACGAGCAATATCGATCCAATCTTTCGATTTGTCTTACCTGTTTGAACGCATATAAAGTTTTTTGCCTATCAATTAAATCTCGATCACGTTATCGGCGTTGTCAATCGCATTTATGCATATAAGGATATAACAATTCCAATGTATAATCACGCAATTAATCGCATAATATTTTGAACAAACAAGTATAATTTAAATTATTTTCAAAATTAATCTTCTAGAAAAAGTTGAGGATTATTTTTCATTTTTATAATACTAAAATAGCAAAAATGAAACAAAAAGGTATTTTAATATTTTATCTTTAAAATTCTCCCAGTATTCTTTAGAATCTTAATCCTTAAATATAATTAGGAAATAAAAAGAAACGAGTTGAGATGGGATTAATAAAATTGTTCAAGATGAACATTTGTTTTTTGCGGAGGACCAAGATCTGCCGACTATCTCGTCATCGACAATGGCAAATAGTTCCGTGTACTATGATGTAATGCAAGTGATTAGTGTAATTCTATTTATTCGTAGATAGATACGACGACGTCGACGGCGACGTCGTGTCGCGTATGATGCGACAGGTGGGAGTTCGCGTGTAACTGACATATCTATTGCTGACTGCCACGAATCTGAGTTAATTCTTTTGTGCTTCAATTTCTAAAGTCTAAGGCTAATATTCATAGTCAGTTCTTATATTCAAGTCCGTCTTAATTTTTGTTTTGAAGTGTCACGCATCAACCAATCAGAAGGCCACATTAGTGTCTAAAAACATTATTTAAGATGGTCTTGAAATAAGAACTGGTTATGAATACATGCTTAAAACATAAAGTACAGCCGCGCGACTTTATTTACGAGATGATAATTTTAAATCTGTTTTTTATAGTTAAACTACTCTCTGAAACTTTTAGAGTGAAGTGTCACTCTGAAGAATGAAATCAAAGATTGAAAATTAAGCTACTCTTATTCAAAACTAGTTCAATTTTCACATTTTAGAGTGAGATTCTACTCCAAAAAATTTAGAGAGTAGCATGTACTGTTTATGGTTAAAATGAAATAGATTCATAGATAAAATGATTTTGTTGAAATATTTAAAAATTTAATTAAATATAAATTTGAAAATAATTTTGTCGAAACATCAAAATAATTACGTAAGAATTTCAAGCATGAGCAATGTTGCAAAAAATTTTAGCAAAGTACATCCTAATTATTTTGATAGTCCAATAAAATTATTTTCGGATAATTAAATTTGTAAATATTTCAATAAAGTTATTCTTTCCATGTTTGACCAAAGAGAGAAAGAAAATTCTAGTCCAGTTAAGTGCAGCAAAACAGATCTTTTTTTTTATTTCATTTTGATCTACTTTTCATTGGATGAATTTTCGAGGCAAATCAGATTATAATCATGATAATTATTAGCTAAGATTATCGAGATAAATCATGAGTTGCACATGGCGTTCGGACCGATAAAAAATTAATTTTAAAGGCGTGGAAGGCGAAAGAGAGAGCAAGAATGCGTCTGATCGAGTAGTCAACATAATGCATGGAAATCACATTCGTTGCGGTACTGCGAGACAATGATAAAGAGATGCATTACGCAATGCATCTCGCGACTCGTATAAAATATTGAGCGGGGTATGGGAACAGAAAATGGTGAAAAAAAAGTGATAGAATAGAAAGCGCGAAGCTTTCCATTGGTCGCACTAGACTATTGAAACATCGAAATGAAAATCGGGAGCAATACGAAGAGAAAAGGGAAAGATTATCAACCGATTATTATTATTTATTATAGTCCTTTTTTATCAATATAGATTAATTTCGGTTTAATTTATTTTTTATATTCTTCTAAAAATTCGACATTTCTTAGAATTAGGAAAAAATAAAAAATAAATTAAACCGCAAGGAAAGGACGGTTTTCCTGAAGTATCTAAAAATTTAGCCAAAAATAGATCTGAAAATAATTTGATTAGATCATCAAAATAATTATGTAAGACACTGGTTATTCGTGTACCCAGTATCTAAATGATATCTGGACTCGGATAAATTAATTAGCAAAAAGAAAAAAACACGGTTCATATTCATGTAATTATTCTAATAATAATAGGCAATACTAAATGGCATATCGCGTAATCGAATTGCGATGAAATTTGTTTTTTATATATAAATCTACAAACGTGTATGTAAAACAAAAGGCGAAGCGAAGGACAAAGCTCAGACTGAAAATTTGCTAGAAAATTTGCTTATGAAAATTTGTTGTGAAAACATTGCTCATCTTGTTTCTACATATTTATTTTTATAGTTCAACAAAATTATTTTCAAATCTGTATTTAATTAAATTTTTAGGTACTAAAAAAGGGAAAATTGTTCTTTTTGTACGAAATTGAAATTAATCCACATTGGTAAAAATAAACATCTGTAAACGACGATCGGTACGTTTTGCTCGCATTGTCGTTAATGGATCATTATAGATGTACGCTATTTAGATCCATTAGAGCGTGAATACTGAACTAGCGATGACTGACATTATCCTTTTGTTTTACACACACATTTGTAGATTTATACAAAAAACAATAAAAAACAAATTTCATCGCAGATTCGATTACGCGACATGCCATTTAGTATTGCTTATTATTATTAGAATAATTACATGAATGTAAATCGTGTTTTTTTTCTTTTTACTAATTAATTTATTTAGTTTACGGGTCCAGATATCATTTAGATACTGGGTACACGAATAACCAGTTTCCGTGAGTGATTTCCGAGGTATTACTGACTCGATAACTCGGTATTGACAATACCGGTCATAATTCCAAAGCCGATTCCACCAGATTATGTCGAGAGACTTATTGATTGTTGTTGCACACAATGTGATATAAATAACGTTGTATCGCAACAACGTAGCAGCGTAGTTCTGTTTTTAAGAATAAATAATAATATAATTCAATCATCTGAATGTTTATTTAATCCAACATCGCAGAGGCAACATCGCATGGAACAAGGTTTTTCAATTAATAAGTCATCCTCATTCGAAAATATAATACTAATCACATGCATAAAAAAATAAGTAATAAGAAAAGTAATAAATGAAAAAAATAAATTAAATCTCATAGAAACGAAAATCTAGACATCACTTCTTTTGGATTGATTCTTCAGGAAAGTCATTTTTTTTTATCTATTATACTTAATTTCATTAATAATATTTGTTATGCTTAACACCTAATGTAGTTTCTTGTTTAAATAAATAAGAAGTAGTAGTCTTCTTATTTATTTATTTCTACCTTATTTATTTCAACGTCTTATTTCTACAGTTAATTTATTATTTTGTCTTATTTTTCTTATTACTTATTTTTTTTGACGCGGTATTAATATCATATTTACGGCTGAGGATGACTTACAAGAGACTTGTCATTGTTCGATTCGATTCTCCTTGAATATTGTCGAACACAAAATCTAAAAGACATGTATTTTTTTTATATCGGCCCATTCTCAGATTTAAGGAGTGAAACAGCCTCTCAAAATTAATGGATATGGCATATTTTCAAATATTAAATTTTGAAACATCTAAATACAAAGTCAAAAAGTATATAAAAAAAATCCTTTGGAAGAATGCTCTTCATGCAATATTATTTGATTTGTCAACAATGTTCTGTTAAGTTGAAAGTTTTTTTTCCCTTTTCAGAAAAATTTAATTTTTAATACAATATAATTTAAAAAATTTTCGCGTTCTTAATTCACACTTCATTCACTCTTTTATTTATTTCTAAATTTGTCTCTTCTTTTTACCTTCTTTAAAATTTTCGCAGTACATTTGGAGACACACCATTTGCGACACACAGGTTGATATAAAAACATATTTCATCGATATTGCATTAATTACGATCCTCTATCTTAATCATTTCGTGACGAAAAACACACAACTAGCGGGACAACCAAACTTACTCCTGCACGGATGAGAGATTATAATAATCTCGTTGGTGTTGCTGTTGCTGTCCACCGGTTCGCTGCTGCTGTTGATGCTGATGATGCTGATGATAGAGTTGCGGGGCGGACGTAGCCAGTTGCGTGCAGGTGTTGTGCACGGTGCGGTGATGCTCTTGGTGGTGAATACGCGGCTGTAGCTCCTGCAGCGAGATGTATTCCTGCGTCTCCTGTGCCGGCATCGCCGTCGCCGAATGCAGGAGCTGGGTGTAGCCCTGTGCCATTTCCTGCGCCACCATCTCCTCCTGTCCCTGTCCGGTCGTAGTTCCGGTACCGCGGAATCGCAGAAGATCATCCAGTTCGGACTCCGCCGACGGGTGCTGCTGCTGTTGCTGCAGTTGATGATGATGACGTTGTTGCTGCTGCTGATGGGAATGTTGCTGATGCTGATGTTGATGATAGTGCAGCATGCGATCATTCACGCAGGCGCCATCGCCTGTAGCGACCACCGCGTCATCATTCTCGACGACGCCGTCGCTGCTGGTGTCCGGCAGTAAACCACCCTCGTCTGGAGAACGACAGAGCGATTCGCCACTGGAGGATTCCCATCAAAGGATGCGCGCGAGAACGCTCGTGACATGCGAAAGCTTCCTTTATTATCACAAAACTAATTCCGGAACTATTCTCGAATTGAGAGATGAGTTTCGCGATCAAAATAAATTTTTAGCAAGAGAATTTATTAATAAACTTTTGGGCGTTATTCTTCTTGCAAATCTTCAGCGCGCTTCAAGCAGAACAATAAATTAAGATGATGTTAAATAACATCAAAGTGACGTCAATGACGTCAAATGTCAAATGACATCATCGGAGAATAACGTTAGAATAAACCGTAACTGATTAAAAAGTAATTTTGAGTAATTATTTTGAAGTCATTTTGACACTATTTTGGTATCATGATAACTTAACTGTGTTCTGCTTAAGCCTGGAAAATTACGTTTGCGTGTATAAGTATGTTGACTCAACGTGTGATAATTTGCGATGACTTTGTGTAATGTAAAATACGGTAAGGCACTATTGACGAGCAATTATTCGGAAGCTAAGGCATAATTATCTACTTGTGTGAACTCACATAAAGTGTAACTTTTCACGCCGATAGTCCCTCATTTTAACAGCCGATTAATTTCTATTGGCTACGATTTGCACGCGAAAAGAACAATTTTGCTGCAATACTTAAATATTTAGCTACATACTGATCTCAAAATAATTTTGAACCATCTAAATAATTATGCAAGATAAACAACGCTACAAAAAAATGTGATATTCTAGCAACCAGCTTGAGTCCTACATAATTACAATATTTTGATTCAAGAAAATTATTTTCAGATTTGTATCTAGCTGAATTTTTAGATATTTCGGTAAAATCGTTCTTTCATGTGCAATTCCCTCAAAGACGAAGGGCATCGCAAAAAGCGTTGGGAACTAAAAATACGGAGATCATTCAGACTGAGATTTTCTTTCCCTCACTAATGACACGCGATGATGATCAATTTTATAATTTAATTTCGTGAACTCGCAAAGAGCAACGTGCCGTGTCGTAATGTCGCATAGGGAAGTAGACGGAACAAATATGTCGCGTGTGCGTAACGCAATCTTCAACCTTGAGTGATGACAGCACGTCAATGTCACGACGCGATTGTGAGTGCGATTAAACACGTATCATTGGGCGTCGCGCGACTTTGGAATGCGCGTTAACTACCGCCGACGTAGAGTATTATATTAATAATTACACAATAACAAGGAAAAAAGAAAGAGAAAGGTATGTACCCTTTTCTAGAAGAGCAATTTGCGGGAAGAGCAATTTGCAATCTTCAAAAATTGCGGATTTTTAACGTCAAAAATCTAAGCCTAAATTAAATCAATATAACAAAATAAGAATGTTGGTATCTCTGGAATTACTATATATGGTGTTTCAAAATTCGTGTCCGCGAAGTACAAGACGTGATATTTTATGCTAAAACAACTTATTCCTTTTGCAAAATTGCGTCTGACAAGTAGTTTTTGCAGAAAAGCAGGTTGGAATTGTACGAGTAAACACAAAAATTATTTATCGAATGTAATTTTATTACAGGAAAAAGTTGTTCGTTTTAGCACAAAAAACAACTTTTTCTTTTAGCGTCTGATAAGTAATTTTTGCAGGAGAACAGGTTGAAGTCAACAAATAAACGCAAAAATTATTTATCGGACGCAATTTCGTTAAAAGAAAAAGTTGTTTGTTTTAGCATAAAGTATCACGTCTTGTACTTCGCGAATTTTGAAATTCTCTGTGGAAAAAACGATTTTGTTGAAATATTTAATTCCACTAGTCTTAAAATTTACTATATGTTTCGGTCAACATGATTAAAAAGCTTTTAAAAATAAAAAATTTTCAGAGAAAAAGATCTGATGAAGTCAATTACAAAAAAAGTTCTTAAATAAAATATTAGTAAGAGAGAGAGAGAAAATAAATTACATTTTTTATTAAACCCAAACAGAGAGAGATCATCGGGATAAAAAATTTAGCTCTGAAAAATACAGATCTAAAAATAATTTTATATTAAAATAATTACATATAAGATGTTCAAGAAGTTGTTAGAATGTTAAAATATTTTTCATCGTTTATCATGCTTGAGTGTTTTGCGAAATTATTTTAACGGTCCAACAAAATTATTTTTAAATCTGTAGCTAAATTAGATTTATTCTGTCAAAATTGTTTTTCTCATTCAATATTGTTCGTCACGTTTTTTTTCCTACATAATTCTTTTGATGATTCATCAAAATTATTTTCAGATCTGTATTTGGATAAATTATTAAATACAGGGTCCGGCAAAATGATCTCCCACATTTTAATCTTTAATAAAAACGCCATATGGGAGATCATTTTGCCGGACTCTGTACTTCAGAAAAATCGTTCTTTGTATATTTTCTCCGTTCAAGAAATTTTGCACGTGTTAGTCTATACATCGCCCATCCAGCATTGCAGAAGATTCACAAAGGATGATTTACGCAAGATCGACTCTAGATCGGCGGCATATAAGAATATATGGGCGGACGACGAAATCAGCAATCAATCAAACACAAACCCATAGCGAATCATTCGCCTTCAACGCGCATTAATTGCTACCTCGTGCTGCTGCCTGCCAGGCAATTCTGCATTTTTATGACATTTTGCTTCACAGTGTAACACACGTTCGCGATATAGACAGCGACGACTTGCAAACAGAAGGAATGTTCTCCGGAGAAGGCCTCGTCTTGGACGTTTAAGTTTCAGAAACCAATTCTGGAGGGTCGAATGCATGAGCTATCCGTGGTAGAAAAAGATACTTTTCTATGGGATAATATTTCAAACAATATTTCAAACGTCCATATTTCTCTGTTCAGACAGTATCTCCGCGGTATTACTAAATGCAAATCCTTTCACGTAACTTTCCTATGTTGTTTTTATAAATACCGGCAAAATTGTGGTAATAAAATCATAATAACTGCGCGTATTTATTTTAAATATAATCATAGATAAACATGCATGTGACTTCTTCATCAAGTCTCGATAGACGTGCAATGTATTATCTTTCGTAATTTAATAATAATTTTCGCAGATAAGTGAACTCTTATGAATATCTTTTCCATAATTAAAATATTCTCGTCTTATGAAAATGTCAGTTGGAATTTTTTATTCTGTCACAAATGAGATACCTACGATAGTTGAATTACGGTAATGGAATTTCGTCTAAAGATTAAAGGTTATCCAAGAGATTTATCAATGAAATTTATGAATGAATTTCCTGTTAACCTTTAATTCTTAGTTAGGTAACCATATATTGTGAAATATATTGTGAAAATTGATCTAAGTGATAGTGTTACATAAAATTACGGAAAAGATGATTTTGCTAAAGTATCTAAAAATTTAATTAGATACAGATTGGAAAATAATTTTGTTAGACTATCAAAATAATTCTGTAAGACGGTTAAGTTTGTTGAATATCAAAACTTTTTGTAGTATTATCCTTGAGTTTCTTATAATTGTTTTGATAGTTCAACAAAATATTTTCAGATCTGTATCTATTCAAGTAGAACCACAAATCACGATAAGTTAAAATGATGTTAAAATGAATCGTTATTGATCCAAAAGTGACTTTTAATAACCATTTTCAAGCTATTTTGATGTCATGATAACTTGACCCTAGTTGGGTAATTAAATTTTTAGATACTTCCGCAAAAAATTATTCTTTCCGTATACGATAAAGATCTATACGTTTTATCACCGTGTAAACAACGAATGCTCTCCGGAGGAGATCTCGGTGCGTTCGATGACGTGTAAAAAAATTATTCAGAATCGCGTGACGCTGACGATTGAGATAATAGTGACAATGACATTACCTAGGAGCTGCAACAATGTCGCGCGCGCGCGACCTTCGATAACTATGCTTCGAGCCTTTATCAATGGAAATAGCAATAATGATGTCACTGGCATAATGATCGATATAATAATGAACATGACGATGACACCTGTTGCGATTTTCGATGTTGGAAAATATAATACTTTACCATCAGTAAAACAGTGTCATTATATCAAAGTTATCTGAATGGATAAGGAATCCATTATACCGATTAATTAAAGATTAGAAACAGAAGACAGAGCTTCAGAGAAAAATATCCTTTGTGATCCAAATAAAGGAATCGACACGATAAGACTACTATGAATACGAATTTCATTTCAATGTGACAATGGAAAAGAAAACAGTACCTGAACTGAGGAGAATATCCCAGTGATCGTTATTGAAATAATTGACGGAAAACATATCTGATGAACAGCACAATATGTCACTAACACAAGTTCTCAAAAACTAAACTAAAATAGTAAGAAAACACTTTTTCAATTAAAAAAAATCAATAAGAAAACACTTTAACCGACTCTATTTAAAAATCACTCTATTTAAATCCACAGTTTGTAATTTATTATTTTTGTAGATAAATTATAGCTTATTAAATTACCTACTGACTTTTGTAGATAAATTATAGCTTATTAAATTACCTACTGACAGTGATTTAAAAATACGAAAAGCAATACGTATACTGTCTAAAAAGACGTTGACGAAGAAGTTATGTTTGATTAATGTCCATTTATATCAATAAAGATTAATTTTAATATCGGTTTAATTTATTTTTTATTTTTCTATAATTCTAAAAATTAAAAAAAAATTAATTAAACCAATATTAAAGTTAATCCACATTGGTAGAAATGGACATAAATCTCACATGTATAATTTAATATTATGAAACAAAATATAAAGTAATTATAAAAATTGCACGACGATATTCTGTATTAGATTGATTTCTTCTTTTGCAAAAATCACGGAGATAATTAATCCTAAAAATATGCTGAGAAAAAATATATAACTATCAAATGTTGAGTGAAATAGTTCCAATCAAAAGTTGTTGATTAACGTACCGTTTACTAAATATTTAAAAAATAAAAAAATTATGGTTTATATTAACCGAACATTTGATTGGAATTATTTCATTCAACATTTGACAGTTATTATCAACCTTTTAGTGTATATACTAAATCACGCGCAGATCAAAATAATTTTTCCGACGTCTCGATGAAAAGGATTGCGAAGCTATTTCGCACATCACGAGCATTCGTACGTCATCACGAGAATCCCCTTACCGAGAAGCGCGTACATCCACGTCGTCGCCGACGACGAGGAGGCGGCGACATCCTCGCGAAGAGGCCAGAAGGCCTGTCGCCTTCCCTCTTGGCGGGCGATGCCCTCGTGCTTCGAGGGTCGGGCCTCCTCGACGGCGACGACGAGGTCGTGCCGACCGTTCAGTACCACCGTCTACACGAGTCGCGTGTCGCGAACTCCCGCGAGACGGTGGCCGGCACGTGATGCCAAGCGGACTGCTAACTGACGAAGGAAGGAAAAAAAAAAGAGAAACTGTCGTCGTCCTAGCTTCCTCCGTTAGTCGGCATCGAGAGATCACGAGGATCACGATGATCTCAGGACGCGCGATGTCGATCGGTAGCGAGACTGTGATCACAGGAGAAGGTCTCTCCTCTCTCGAACTCGCGTGGTAGACAACGCACTCGTCGACAGACGCGTCGTCCGCTTGACACTGAGAACGCGGGTGGGTGATGATGACGGTGGTGCTGGCGACGGTGACGATGGTGGCGGTGGTAGTGGCGGTGGTGGTAGTGGAGGAGGCACCTCCGCGGACGACGGTGGTGACGGTGGTAGAGAGGACGTATACTCGTCGTCGATATAGCGATGCTGTTGAGTGCACTGGGGTGCCGTGGTGAATACCACGTGGTCCGTCACAGGTGGGAGTGACTAAAACCGCCCTGCGCTGCGGAATCGTCTCCGCGACGTCAAGTCGTATATCCGAGCCACCCCCACATCGCGACGAGGAGGATGCGTTCAGTCACGATTCCTTTCTTAATTGCTGGATGAATCGCGAAGTAAAAAAGTATCTAATTGAATGTTTAGACACTGCTTGTAAGAGAAAAGTGTTTGATGTTTGTGACTATAATTGTACGGTAAAGTAATTATAATTAGGAACTCCATTTTTATAATTATTACTACATTATTATTTAGTAATTAGTTAGTGATAATTATATTTATACACTAAAAGAAAAATATATTTTAATAATTGCTATTTTATTTTATTTCAACAAAAAATATACAATTTAGGCATCGAAAATGATTATTAATTTTTATATATATAAGAACTATATAAATATTAGGTGTTGGAATTAATTCGTAGCGTTTTTAATGAAAGAATGTTATTTATTTCACATGAGCATTAAAAAATACATTAATGAAAGTACTTCCCATCACTTGTAAAACGCTACGAATTAATTCCAACACCTAATATAATTATTACTAATATATTATTACTAATATAGCAGTAATAACTATAAAAAGTTATTTCAGCTCTTGACTATAATTATTTTACCATATAATTATAGTAAAAAGTACAAGTATAAACACTTTCTTTCTTTTCTTTCAGTGAAATAAAGTAAATTCATACGATGGAAATGTGTATGAAAACGATCTCTATTCGCGAAATTAAAGTTTCAGTTTGACTCTCAAAGTGAGCTTCACGCTCGGCTTTTGTTTTCTGAAGCTGACGTACGATAAATTGTCGCTAACGAACTTTAGATGATTATTTATAATATGCAAGAAGATTTATATGATTATTTATAATACGCAAACAAGATTCTTGGATTCGACATAAAGACGTGACGTCAAAAAGAAAAAGATCGATTGAGCCTTGCAAGGAAATCTATTAAAAGCATGTAACGATATTTGTCATTGTCAACGTAATAAATATAAATTAGATAGTCAACTTATGAAAAATTTAATTAACAGACTTATTAAAGTAATTAAATAATAAAAAAAGTAATAATCGATGATAGAAGAAACATATCATTACAGCCACTCGCTGCAAATTTACGCGTGCAAGTCTGAAAACTATATCTTGTAATCCTGCTATCTGTTTATGCCTGTGTTAAGAAATCATGGGTTTGATGGCTCAATCAACTGCTGCGCGACGTGACTTTCAACACGTAATTTAAAAATACATATGTTTTCCATTAAAAAAAATTTGTTTTTTAATTTTGAGTTTACTTTGCATTTCCATGAATTTGTAGTGTCTCAGAAAGACTCAAAGAAAAATCTCTTTTAAATAAAACGCAAATATATAATATAAATTTTATGTATAATAAAGGACATCTAAAAAATTTATCAGTTATTTAATTTTGCTCGATGAATCATTTGCTTCGTGCCATCGTAGAATTAATTAACGTACGTTTCATCGTATAATACGTAACATACAATATATACGCGCATTTAAAGCCAACTAATTAACGCTATCTTCATGCCTTACATAACTTTGTTAATATATAACGTAATCACATGGCGCCAGCATTTTAATATTACATTCTGGAAGAGACACAAAGCGAACGGCTGGGGAATTTCTTCTCGCTCGATTATTCTTTATAACGCATTTTCATGTTAATTCCTTACTTTATATAGATACTTGAACTGTTAGCCTTCGATTAACCGGTTTACCTTTGCGCGCAATTCGCTTAATATCACAATAATAATAGCTGTCACTGTACGGTGCAGGTGGCTGTAAGAAATTTTTAATATCGCATTCATTTTGTGAGCTATTAATTGTTTACGCTACGCGGCCGTCGATGATTACAGTTCTATCAATCGCAGTCGTCATTTTTTAATTGATGTTTTTTCTTTAAATTTAAAAAAAAGGATTTATATCACACACAATCAAGGGTATTTAATATCAGGAAATATAATAGGAAATATAAGAATAATTTTGCTGAAATGTCTAAAAATTTAGCTAGATAGATACCTAAAAATAATTTTGTTGATACCATCAAAATAATTATATAGAATGTTTAAGCGTTGATGACAATGTTGTAAAAAGTTTTGACATTCCGACGACCAACTTGAGCATCCTACGTGATGGAAAACAAAATTATTTTCAAATTTGTATCTAAATTTTTATATAATTATATAATTTCAACAAAATCGTTCTTTCTGTATATGATTAGTTCTTGTCCTTAATTTTTCATACTGGATCTAAATATAAAAATCATATTAAAGAATCTTACAATAATTGCAGAATTGCTTTTCCTTTAGAATGCGACTAAGTTGTAGAATTACGCGATTATTTATTCGTAACTCTTCAGACCATGATAACTATCGAACGATCGCGGGAAGATTGCCGAATTGATTTGATAGTCTGTGTGCGTTTTGCGAGTAGAGAAGTCAGTCGCGTTCAGTCAGTTTCAGATTGGCGATCAATGAAAAACGCAGACACGCACATTCGTGGACCCCAATGTGTTCTACTTAATCGCATTTTTCGTCCCTTAAATCCGTGTCGCCGAGATTCCGCGGCCGAGCCGATTGCACTGTATTAATTAGCGCTAATTACACGAGCTAAGCCTACCTCGACCGCGCGCATCTGTACATCCGAGGCCGTTTGTAACGGAGCGTTAATTATTATCGTCAATACGCTTTTGTGTGATACAGGCTCGGTTTACGATCGGCATTGACGTTTGAAGTGACCACAGCTCGCTCTCGGTCCTCCCTCTGCCAAATCTCCCTCGTCCACTCATTAGCGTGATTTTTCAGTACCTGAGGATCCGGATCCCCGTCGATTAATTTACAGTGATTTCATAGCACTCCTTCTCCGCGTTTATCCAATTATTCGCGTTTTTAATAACGATCTTTGATCTTTGTTAACGCTTGCCGCATGTTAACGGCGCCATCGACGGAATTTTTGGAAATAAAACACGCAATATTCTTCTTTTACCTTGCATGACGCATTTCGACATATGCGTCGTTCGATGAAACACCGATATAGATTGTAAATACGTCTGAAAATATGACATTCATATCAGTTATACATGCTGTATACAAAACTTTGAGTTGTTTTTTTAAACATTAACTACAATACATCTCAATATGTTTTCTTTTTCAAGGAAAAGAAATGAATCTCACGCAGAAAGAATTAACGGTTTTGCGGAAATATCTAAAAATACAGATTTGGAAATAATTGTAATAGATTATCAAAATGTATATAGGAAACTCAAGCATGAGCATTAAAAAATTTTGACATTTTAACAATCAACTTGAGTAATCAAAGAAGAAATCATAATCCCTTAAATTAAATAACATGTCGTTATTTTTAATTTTCATGTATTTAAAATGTAAATCATTCCATTTCTATAATTTCAAAATAAACAGCGTTCATATTAATATGAACATTATTTATTTTAAAACGGTATTTAATAAATAATAAGCTAATTTTAGTTAAATCAATATCATGTTGAACAGTGATATTAATAATAATGATTTATAAAAATAAATTGATATAATTCAACATTATGAATTTAACAGTGCATATCTAGCTAAATATTAAATACTTCAGCAAAATCATTCTTTCCGTGCACAATTTCTAGAATCGTGTTTATTATTAAACACATAATTGCTTCATTACATATTCATTAAACTATCGATGTCTCGAATAAAATTAACACGATTACAATAATATCCATATCGCAACTGAATCATCTTATTATATACTTCGCAACTATTAACCAAGCGACGATTAAGAAATCGTGGGGATGGGCGTAATTGATCGAACGTAACGTTATTAACATTTACCAGACACAACTGGGATCGGACTCAGGCATGTCTTCGCACTCCTCTCGAGTATATCGGGTATCAATTTACTCGTTGGTTATCGCCGCGGAGAATGTCGGTTATATCCTCAAATTCCGAACTGACCGCCGATTCTGGAATTCGTTTTTCAACATTGATTGGTAAGCTGACACTGATCCTCCTCCCGTAACATAATACTTTCGCAGAAACAACTATAATTATTGTGTCATCTTGCCGCTGTAACATCCAGCCGGCAGCGACGTCATCTTACTCTTATTATCTTTCCCTCGACAATCATTCTTCACCGCGCTGTCGATCAGCAAAAAGCATGTCAGTTTCCAAATAAGTCAATAACGCCAAAATGACGTTAAAATAAATTGAAAAGTGATTTTTAGTAATCATTTTGGAGCGATTTTAACGTCATTTTGATGTCATGATGACCTGTATTCTGCTTGGATTTGTTTGAAAATTAAGTCGTTAAAAACAATCAATGGAATGGCGATGATAACTTACCTTTAGATTCGTATCGAGCCCTTCCACGCGTCCATTCATTTGGCTGGAACGTACCAG